AATCTTATTAATTTTACGAACGCTATTTATAAGTATTATTTAATAGGTATAAAAGTAAAATATATATTTTGAATACAGTTATATTTTCAAAAATTTGATAAAAATCTAAATTAATGATCCACATCGGACTAAATATTTTAATTCCGACCCTGCCAAAAAAAAAATTTCTAATTTGCTTGGCCTAATCCCGAACAAATTTTCAAGCCCAAATTTTTATAAATTTAGGTTGCTTTTTAAATTTTTTTTTACTAAATACGTGATACGTAATAAAGAACGTTTTCGCCCTGGTTGTGGAAACAGCAGAGCTACGCTAGGTCTTCCTCATAATCCATCAAATCGGATATTTAAATAGAGAGAGAAAAAATGAGGAGCCCTTCACACGTTTGTGGCAAGCTGCACATACCTGTATGCGTAATAGTGATAGGACTGTTATTTTAAAAATAAATTAATCATAATTCGAGTTATCTCACTTGCAGCGTGGTTAATAAGAATTGCCATTCTTTTACTAAAAATTCTACAATTCACTTTTATTTATAATTTATTAAATATATCAACACATCTTAATAAATATATAAATAATGCCATATAAATCTAAGAAAATTTTTCTTATTTATCAAATTTTATTATTAAATTCTAGATATATGATCTTATCCATAAATTAATTCCATCAAACATATGTGTTTATTACTGTGATTCTTTTTCCATATTTAAAAATTTTATACCCCCTTAATCTAAGGGTAGATTTATCGTGGGATCCGATCCGACGCGATTTAACAGCTGTTTTATAAATCTTTTAATGAGATCAATTTTTTAAAATTAAAATCAGTGATTCTTAAATTATTATCAAAAATAGAATTGGAAATATAAATAATATAAGAAAAATCACATAAACAGATTTTGTAAATCAATCAGCTGTTAAATAGTGTGAAATCGGATCCCAATATGAATCCAGCCTATGGTACATGTCAGGATGTTACAAGCCAACTCTCATAAATAAATCTTCACTTGATACCCATCTTTAGAATGTTAAAGTTGTCATAAACCCCATCCTCAGTAAAAACCACTAGATCCGAATATTAAGAATGTTGATTAACAAAGCAATCAAAGTATATTTTTTATTTCAGTTAGATTTATGTTAATTTATGTAAAAAGTTTTTAAAGAGTCGTAAAATCGAGAATGTTGAGATATTATGTTAGAATTTTTATCCCTAATCAACTCAGTTTATGATGCTTACTACCTCAAGGTACTACCTATCAAAAATTTTGTTTATTTTTCATTTGGATAGGCACTACCAAATATATTTATAATATATATTTGAAAAATCGTGATTTTTGGAAAGTCTCTATGGCCTAGTAGGCAAGAACTTCACTTACTGATCCCATGGTCGCGGGTTCGAATCCCTGAAATGGTCATGTTTTTTTCTTAATCATACTTGGTGGTTCCATCCTTGGGGGGATGATATATAGAAGGCCGGACTCGACCACGTGATTCCGTTATAATATATTAAATAATAAGGGTCTTATTACATTTTAATAAATTTTGGTCGGTATTTAGCAAATAAGGTTGGTGTTTAGAATATTTCCATTCATTCACTTGGTAGTAAGCATCATTAACCAATTAACTCCTCAAGACTTACCCTTAAACATGGTAAAGAGAGATTATCAATCTAAAAATAATCCTTTATTAGTTTTTATTTGATACCTATGTCCAAATATTATGTTAGAAATGTATTGCCTCCTCTTTTTCCTCACCAAAACTAAAATTCAAGACACAAAGTGAGGATTAACATTTATTTAATACCCTTGTTTTGATGCCTTTTTGGATAGTTTATTGTCCTCTTCCTATGCTTATGACCTAGATATAATAGAGTATTAATACAGCTAAAATAATCTTTTTGATAACTTTTATTTTATAGCTTTTCTAATATATTTTTTATAAAACGTTGAAGAGCCCCCCCCCCCCCGAATACAAATAAGCATTATCTAAGGAACTGTAATAATTTTTAATAGCGTTTAAAAAATCTTTGTATTAGCTTTCACCTAATTACCTGAAGAGATATCTTTTTAGAAAAGGATTATACCCCACCCCTATTATGGATTAGACCCGATGACCTACAGTGATAAATTATTTTAATAACACATAAATAATCTTTTTGTTAGCTATAAATTGATTCTCTTTTTAAAATATAACCCTACCCCACCCCCTTCATAACCACTATGACATTGATTATTTATTTCATGTGATTTACAAGGATTATAAAAGTTTCAGAAACATGGTTCCTTTTTTGTATAACATCGCTTATGATCTGTTTTTTTATATTTAATTCATTCATTATCACGCAGCGTCTACATGACAAGATTTTCATGGATGTAAACCCCCTTCAAAAACCTTTGCCTACCCCCCTAAAAAATTCGCGCCACCTTCGGCGGCGGGTCTCTTATTATTTTTACCTATAAAGAATTTATTTTTTAGATAATAAATTCGATTAAAACCTCTATTATTTACAATGAATTAATTATTATGGCATTATGAGCTTGCTGAAATATCTAAACAAACCAAACCTTTTAAATTACATTTAAAAGGATAGTTTATTTGGAAAACAATGCGTATGATTGTTTGCAATATATAGATTTGGTCGATGAATTCTATTATAATAATTCTATAATAAAAGTATTTCAGCAATAAATTTTGTCCTATTTCATCTCAAAATTTAATAGATAAACCCAAATTTTTTTTATCCTACCCACATTAAAGCAGCCTACCCCCTCAAAAAAAATAGGATGCAAACTGTTCCTACCCCTCCCGCTCATGTAGACGCTGTTATCACGCCAAATATTTGATAATATATGGCATTTATCGTCAGATCGTAATTCGCCTAACTACAACCGTAGCTAAACACGATCAAATTAAACAACAAATATTAAAATGCTAAAAGACCCGCATTTATTTTTAATATATATATATTAATGGAATCACCCTATGGCTCCGATATTCTATATATATATATATACTCAATAGCATTGAATCACCTAGTTTGCTTAAGAAAAATACTCGGTTCTTGCTGGTTTCAAAACAATATCTATATGGTTGGTTACATATGCCCTCAATATCGAGGCCACCGACGCTACTCAAAAACAATATTTTTCTATATATAATTATAGATTTACGACGTTATCTAATATTTTAATTTTAAAGAAAATATAAAAAATTATTATGTTCAATGGTATACATCATTACTCCCATAAATTTCATGAAAAGCAATTTCAATACTCCAGAAGGATTTGAAGAGTGAATCATGTATTTACACTAATATATAGAACAGATTCCATTCATGATGTCTACCATTATCATATAGAGGAGGGTATCTCTAAAAAATCACAAAAGGCTGAAGTAGATATAGTCGAGATTATTAATTCCATAAGATGAATTTATTTTCTTAAGTATACAATGTACCTGTTAGAAATTCTAATGGATTGACTTATTCTTAATTCTTGAGTTGTAGGTAGCCATCAAATTTTAATGTTTTGTTGTCCATAGTGTGTAAATTTGGGGCATTTCCTTCAGAATTATAATATTATTTAAATTAATTATATATTATTTTAAAAATGACTAAACTGAAAATAGACTTTTATATTCGATAAAATTCTCTAAAATGCTAAATTAAAAATATATTACTGTATGATATTTTATATTAATAATTAATTATTAGTGTAAATAATTTTTTTAAATTATATATCTTGTTACTGATTACATAATTCGTAAAACCATAAATTTTCAAGTGAATGATAATGATTATATATATATATAGCTATTTATAATTAATGATATTTTTAAATCGATAAATAATCGAAATTTCATTTTTTAAAAAATACATGCCTATTCTAAACCAACTTAATTTATTACTATTAAGGAACCTACCATTTAACTGGATTATCCTTAGATTTCCAGCGAAGAACTATATGTTTATTATTACTATGCTGTCATTTAGGATAAAAATGTTTAATTAAATTCATAATATGGTATTTTTGCACAGAATAAATAGAAATTGCAAGAAAAACATTTTCAATCGTTTTAAAAATTTTCTTAATTATTATAATAGTAAAATTATATCTAAAATTTAATATCTGTTATATGTAAAATATACATTATATTTATCAAATTAATAACAATACATGGCTTATTTACAATTGAAAAATCGGAGAAAAAATACTTTCCTGTCCCAACGCTCAGCAATTATCCGTTTTGACTTTATATTAATATATGAGTATCTAAATACTTTTTTCCAAAAATATCTCCTCTCCTTCTTAATAAACACCCCCATCCCCCAACTGGAAATTTCTGGTTCTCTATTAACATATAACCATAATATTATTAATGTTATAACTGAAAGTTGTATATAATAAATATCTATACACATTCATATACTATATATAGGCAGGATTATACTGTACTTAATATGATAAAATTTATATTATTATACCAACAAATATTATATCGTAATATAAATATATTGAATTAAATAAGAATCAGAGATAAATATAGAATTTTAGATTATTTTTAGAATAACGGGTAAATATATTAAATTTGGTTTTATATTGTTTGTAAGCAGATTGCAATAAATTTCAGGAATATAGGTCTTTTGTCGCCAAACACCTCCTAAAAGTCATCTTTTGATTTTCGCCAAGATTTTCCGATTCATCTTTTGGAAGAATATAACTTAACAAATGAAATGGAATTTTGATGTCTATGGATTCAAATATTCTTAACTCACTCCTTATCATGAATATAATTATTCAAGACTAAAAAACAGATAAGATATATATTTCTTTATAATATTAATTATTACATTACTATTACAATATTGGAAAGGGTAAGTTCCACTCATTTAGTTAAACTACAACTGGGTACAAGGTTTGTTGGTATCCTTGAGAAAAAAAATCGGCATAATTTTATGAAGGGTGGGCCTTCATATAAATCACGTTCGCTCATTTCGAGCAGGTCTATGACCAACGTGCTAGATAAGATAAGATAAGAAGTATTTTATAAATGGATGAAGAAAACGATACAACTGCAGTCAAAGAAGAAAGACCAGCAAGACCGCGATGCTTTATGGATATTTCAATTGGTAAATCATCTAATTCTAAAGAAGAGCAAGTGTTTCGTATTATAATCGAATTGTATGCAGATATCTGTCCGTTGACATGTGAAAACTTTAGATGCTTATGCACTGGTGAGTTATACATATATTAGTTGTCATATTATTTTAATAGGCGAAAAAGGTACAAGTCAAATTTCACAAAAGTTATTAACCTACAAAGACTCAGTATTTCATAGAATAGTTAAAAATTTTATGATACAAGGTGGAGATATTATTATGGGTATGATTTATATGAAATTAATATATTTATAATATTATGACTTAGGGAATGGTAAATCAGGAGAATCGATCTATGGAAAGCATTTTGATGATGAAAATTTTGAAATAAAACATGATAGACCATACATCCTATCAATGGCTAACAAAGGAAAGAATACTAATTCATCCCAATTTTTTATGTAATTAATTCTTACATATTATATGTTGATAAATACATCACCTCACAGTTTCTAATAATCTTACCTAGGTGTTAGCTTCATGTAGTCCTACCAGATGGTAAGTGATTCCCCAGAAAAAAAATCCACAATTCTTCAAAAATAGTTTCCTGAAATAGATTTTCTTAAAATTTTTAGATATTTAATGAGAATTTTTTTTCCTATTTTATTAATTTTTGTTTTTGGAAATTATTTTCACAGATTCCTACTAGATATCCTCATTTAAGAGGACATGCCCCATTTTGAGACATAAAAATTTGTCTGGTATCTATATTAATTTGTTATTTTTTTAAAATAAAAAAATTTTTACATATTAAAAAGTATTTTTTACGATTATATACCTCATTAGTTTTTGCCTTTATTTATTTTTTATCATTTTAAAATGTATTCTTCATCATTGAATTTAAAAATGAAAGTTACCATATTACTTTTTTTAATTTGTTAATAATACAGTAAATTTAATTTAATTCTATATTTTATTTTTGTATTGATGTTTTTTAAATGATAACTTTTAATAAATAATTATATTTTCTCATTATCAAAATAATTTTTATCATTATAAAAGTTACCATGCCAACTAACATATTTAAAAATATCCTAATATTGAACTTGAAGCCAAATAAAATAAAAATGTTGAATGTTGTCTATCCTGTCATGTTTCATTTTCAATTGGTAACAAAGGTAAATTTGATGTAGAATAGCATTAGGTCACTGATAAATTTCATCAATCAAAGATACAGCTTTGTGTAAAGTAACACAACACTTTATACCTAAATTCACAAAGCTGTAAGTATCCTGCCATTTCATATTTTACAACACCATTTCAGTTTTTTAGAAATTTTTGATTGTTTTTTATCCCAGCTTATTATTTTTTATAAAATAATTTAGTACATGTTGTCATGCCTGGTCCTTAATAACTTTACAAAGGAAAAAGACAGAAATTAGCCTGATTATAAGTTTTAAATTTTTTCATAACTTTAGGCCTGACATCAAAAAATATTTTACACAATGTTCAGCCTAGCCTAAAAATCTTTGTTGACTGGGCTTTTGGTTGAGCCTGTACCACACTTGCCTCTGCAAAAAGTTAACCAGAAGTTTGAAAAAAGATCATCAAAAATTTTTTGAAAGAAATGAAATCTTTGATCAAATTGTAACCTAAAAATGGCAAAATATTTTATAAGTAAATATATTTTGTAATTTTTACATGCGTAAAAAATTTTTGATGATTTTTTTCAAACTCTAAAAATAATATCTGACGAAGAATGAAAGATATAATCTGTTTTATAACTCTTTAATATATTTTTTTATTTGTAATTTATTAAAAAGTAATACATTACTCTAATTTATTACTTTGTCAACTTTTAGTAATAATGTTTGTTTAAATGTAAATCTTATATGAATTATAAATTTTATATCAAAATTTAATTATTTATAAAATTACTTCCACTGCAAACGAATTTCGTAGAACAACTATCCCTGCTCCCCATTTAGATGGTAACAATGTGGCATTTGGCCATGTCGTTTCTGGCCAATCAGCTCTCACCGTCATAGAATCGATTCCCGTTGACGAAACGTTCAAGCCAGCACTCCCTATAACAATTACCAAATGCGGTGAACTAGTCTTACAGATCAGACCCAAAATATCAGGTTTATATAATGTTATTTATCCAAGGGCTCGATGCTCCATGTGGCATTTTTTTTAAAACAAATTTGAATTAAAGTAATGTACCCTTATTTGTAAAAGTTAATTATGAAATATTTCTACCTTGTTAATATGCAATATTTTACTACAATTGTCCATCTACTAAAAAAAATGCATACACAGGCCGTATTTAATTTTTTTTAGATTTACCCAGGCCAAGATATCCAGGCCTGGCCATATATTTTAAAACCAAATATTTGAAATCGCCATTTTTAGCTATAAAAATCAAAAATAAATAAAAATATTGGACAGGGCCAGAAAAAATTTTTGACAAAAATATATGGGCAGGGCTGTACAAATGGTACCTCTGCAGATCTCTAATATTTATATATTAAAATACTGACACTCCTTTTTAGAAAAATAATTCAAAGGTTGATGAGTGTCTTTTTTATCATTATTCATAATCGTATCCACTATGGGGTGCTATAAAAAGTCTGATATTAAATTCTTTTAAATTTTCAGGGATTTATCTGTTTATAACTAGTTGTAAACTTTTAATATATTTCATTGACTAATACCCTGTATTAATTTTTTTATTTTAATTTTTCTTCCTTTTTTATCTAAGCCCAGTCAAGCTTGAAATAAGAATAATTTTAAAATAGTCTTAATAAATTATCCAAAGAAATTTAATAAGTGAAGTGAACAGGCTGATGTTGAGTTATTATTTTTTCCATTTCTTCTTCATCACTTGTAATATGGATCTGATATTATATATATAAATTATATTAATATTAAATATGAATGTTGACATTATCCACTTGCCTGATTTGTTTTTGCAATTAAATAAGCTCGGACTTGAAAATATTTAATGAATTGAATTAAAATATTTATTTATTATTTTGAATATAAAAAATACCTCGAATAAAATTGTATCAAAATGTATCTATCTATTATTTTATTCATAAAAGTATATTTGAATATGGACACCACATTTTTTATATCTAGATCAATGACATATAATAATTCATAGGCATACAATGCATTCATTAAAAGTGTACATTTATGAAAACAGCTGGAGACGCCATTTTGATAACCATATCATTATTAAAAATTTTAAACCAGAGACCAATTTATTCCTATGTCTGACGCAAACTTTATTAAAAGAATTTCTTGATAATCGATATAATAAGGAAACCAGTTATTTAATGGAAATTTTTAACATGAAAATGATTACTATATGGGTTACCAAAATGGCGGGTCCAGCTGATTTGCATCAATGACGCTTTCAAATGCATTATTATGAATGTATCGTCAGTTTAGGTATTATTATGTCATTGATCTAGATACAATAACTCTGATAGCGATAATAAAATTTAACCATTGTATTATCGTTGGGTATTTTGAATGCCGATACTTTCGTTGTTTCATTTCCTACTAACTTAAGCGGGCTTCATTTTATTTCTTTAACTCTCTTTCTTCCTAAACACCAATTAAGATTTGAACCAAAATCTCGAATCAAGCAAGGAGAAGGACGAAACAGGTTCTCTCAGATCGTACACTGAATCCTCTGAGGAAGATGGAATCGTCACGCAGATCGATAAATCCCAATCTAAAATCTACGATGAAGAAACAATTCTGTAAAATGAAAAAATTAATTCTTTAATCACATTTTTTTACATTGGGTACACTGATATCTAAAGGGCCCATATCATAGACCCACTGATATTACCATAACAGCTGATACTTGTTACTGCACATAGTCAAATACTAATTGAATAATAAATTATTTGTATTTGATTTTAAACCATAGAACAATTTACTAGTCGTAATTCGTACAAAGAATAGAATTACTATTCTTATTTGATTGGTTGGTATGGTTATCGAATAATTGTGTTTAAAACGACTCAATTTATAAAAAAAACAGTTAACCTCAAAAAATTATCATGCACACCTGGAGATTTCGCCCTCAAATGCTATAAAGGCTTGGGCCTGTGTTGTTAAACGGTTAGCCCAATTTTTTTAGCCAAAAATGTTATGCAAGCCTTATTTTGTTAGTAGATGACCAAACCTTTATGTCATCTATGAGCAGAATCACCAAAATTGCATAATATTTTCGGCTAAAATACTGGCTTATTCGGATTAAACTCATTCACAAAGTCGATTAAACAAGATTTTATATGAGAGATTGTTTTCAAAATGAGCCTCACAACCACCAGCAACTCCTACATAGGAGAAGCCAAGGAATGGAAGTGAGAACATTATAACAAGAACATCTGTTTTGGGGATGGGTGAATAGCTTATTATCTTAATTATAAATCTGAATTTACCATAAATATAAAACACTTTTTTTTTTATCTCTATAAAAAAATTTCTTTAAAAAAAGACATGCAAAGTTAAATTAAGAGTTAAGAAAATAGGAAGATATATAAAAAAAATTAACAGGACTGTTTTTCTTAGAATTTTTATATATTATTTTTTAAAAAAAATATATAAATTCATAGCTTAAAAATCTACAAGAAAAAATTATATTTTACTAAGTTTAAGTATCATTTTTGTTATCAGCATTGGTATCGGTTAAAAAAAAATGAAGATACTACAGCTGATATCAACAGAGTCGATTTTATGAAATTAAATAACAAAATCAGAGCCAAAATAATCTGGGCCTAAGCTTCTAGATTTTGTGCTAGAATAGGATCAAACCCCTTCTGCCATCTTTTTGGTAAAATTTCGAGACTTGGATTATATTGTTTTTTACCAATACCACAATAACAGGCATCCATTTTAATATTATTTATTTTTTTCCCTCGTTTCTTGGGGGTGGTTGTATAATAATTCAATTTTTATCGTATATTTTTGTTCATGGTTTTTAAAACCCATTAAATTATCTCATTTTTGTACATTTAGATAGTGACGTTAAATCACCTCCTAACTTTGACTAACTCCAATATGGCGTGGTCAAGATTATCCCCTAAAGATTGATTTAAACGTCTAAGTTTAGCCTCAACTTAATGTTGGAGACTGACTATTTTTTCAGAATGTAGACTTGGCTAAATCGTTTTAGAGCTGGCCAAAGTTAGATGGTTTAACAACACTACATTTAGATTAACAAAATTATATTAACATTTATTTTAAAATAATATCTATCGAATTATATTACTAATTTTTTTTGGAAATCAAATATTTCTTTTTTAACCTTTCCCTCTTTAAAATAATTGTTTTTTCCTAATTAAGTTATTAGATTGATATTTTATTTTATCATACGATATTATCATTGAAAATAATGAAATTACGAGAAAAAGAATTTTTGATTATTGATATACCTTCTTCACCCATGTATCGGCCAAAAAAGCAAGTTTCCATTTTGCAGAGATCTGCAGACCCGGAACTTGGCTCGTAAACTCGACCTGGCCCGAGACGGTCCCTTTAAAAATCTCAGGGTGGTCTGGAGACTTAAGGATTGAAAATCTGGGTCAGGCCAGTTTTTTTAGGAAAATATATTTAAATTTTATCAATTAAGCGGTTCGAAAAATTATTTAATGGAACCGTTTAATATTCATTTACTCATCGTATTTACAATCATTTCTTTTGTAAATTTGGAAAAGCGCAAGCTAATAATCATTTTAAAAATCTGGGCTGGGCCTAATATATTCTAGAGTGATTAGCTAGTTGGGTTTAGGAATTATCATAATATCAAACTTTGCAAAATTTGTTTGCTTGCCTACTAAGTTTAAAAAAAAATAATTTGATACCCAAATCCTGGCTGTTAGGCTTCGTTATATATAATATATATAATTTTTTTAAAATTCTTATGCTAAGCAATGATAGCTCACAAAATGCTGCCAGTACACAACAGCCTCCCGAAATTCCCAAAAATTTCCTTCTAAGAAGTTGCCCGCTCGATTTCGAAACGAATGGTGATTCAAGTGCCAAAGTAAATTATATATATATATATTCACGTTTATTGTTACCTTTTTATGCAATTTGCCTTCTAAACCACAGAAAAAATGCTTGGCTTTACCGAAAATTTCCATCAAAATTAGTAGGCACCTCATATTTTAGTATTCTGACTAGGGTTCCTAAGTTGAATTCAAATCACATTTTATTATATTCTGGATTTAAGATATTTAAATCGAATAGTATTTTTTATATATATATATATATAGTATCTGTTATTCGAATTCATTTCATTTTAATATTTAGTAACACAACTGTCAGATATTTAACAAAGGGCTCGTTAAAAAAAATCCATAAATTTTAATTCAACCTTATCCATTAAATTTTTCAATTATATTTTGTAAAATTATTTTAATATACTTGGTGGTACTAAAGTTGTAATCATTCATCAGCTGTTCTTTAAAATGTTATAGATTAACAGATTAAAACCGAACCGGTATCTCTTATTAGTTACCGAACTGAACCAGAACTTTAGGGAGTGGCAACCTTTCAAGTCAACAGAAGTCTGACAAAGTGAACATGATCGCTATTAAGTCTCAGACCGTGACATGCTATAGCTCGTCATTTGTGAGTAGTAAATTAAGATGAAAGATGGCTTCAGTTGAAAAGGGAAGTAGAATGTTCCACAGGTTGTCTTCTCGATTTAAGAAATGCGAGGGGATTGCCAACCAATGCTAAATTCCTATCTCTCTGCAATGACGGTAAAGGAGGATAAACTAGGGAAGGAGGCTTAAAAAATCGATGGCCTGAAAGAGTAGAGAATTTGGGTGTGTCGTTAATATGCTGATAGTTCTCATGATAAATGCAAAGATATGAAAGCACTGTTGGAGTAAAGAATTAATCTCCTTTCCTCAAGGGATTTGTGTAATGCCATCTGGACGTTTCCATTAGATATAAAGGGTACCGAGAGATTGGATCTTAATAATATTTGAATAACAAAATTATGTATTTTAGATTAAAAAACATTTATTTATTAATATTCTGCAATAATAATGTATTTAGTATATAAAGAAAATAATCAATGTTAGCTAACAACCAATATTGATAATAGTAATTTACAAAAGTGTAATTTAATACAAAATGAGAATAATAATGAAATATTATCTTACATAAAATTATTATTAAGTGTAGTTCATTATGAATATATTTTATTTCAAGAATGATATTTAATAATGATATATTTATATTTTTCTTCTATCTTTATGATATCTTCAATTAATATCATTATAAATGTCATTTTAAAAATGATGTAATTATTTATTTTGTTACATCAGAATGATGCTTTCAGTTTATTTATTATGGAATGTCTTTGTTTAGAATGATATTTAATAATTATATATTTTTTGCATCAGAATGATATCATCAGTTATAATTTAATTATAACTGTTTTTGTTATAAGAAATTATATTTAATACTATATTTAAGATATACGTTGTTAGAATCTTTGACGAAATTTGTCAAAAATATTTCTAACAATTTAAAGAACAGCTTATAAATGTTTTTTGATGAAACTACAGTACTTATTACCTTGGGAAATGATTATTGTCTAACTCAAGGAAATTACAGTTACGACAGCTGATTTAGTTAAATTTCTTTTCATCTATTTATAACACATGAACAGTCAGATTTGACAGATTATTTTAAAAAATGATTGAATTTCATTTAAAAAATCCTTTTTCTTTAAATATATATTTTAACTCTATGGCAAGTGTTTCAGGGGCACAGGCTGGGCTATTATTCCCTAGACCTCGAAATCTAATATACTTTAAAAAAAAAATCTTATCACTCGAACATTTATCTATTATTTTATAACAAAGCGATTATCATTTATAATTTTTTTGTACATAAACCTACACTTATTTATATATAAATAAAATTAGGACGCACAATTGCTAGAGAAATCAGAAGCCATCTTGAAAATATTGACCGATAAAACCCATTCAATACCCTATGCCGATGATGATGCCGAGAACCGGGCTAAGATAAAAGCCCTAAAGAGCATGTTCTCGGCCCACGTCCCAAATCTTGAATCCCTAGCTGGCGACAGCTCTAGTCGTCATCGCGAAAGCGATCACGATCGAAATAGAAACAACAGGGACAATTATGAGAGAGGGCCCAGGCGTCGAAGCCCATCCAGGGAAAGGAGGTTTGGGGAATTTTTACATGTTGTTTTTTCGTTTATTGCAATTTACCTTCTATTTATGGGAAAGGTTTTTAATAGAACTTGTTTTCCAAACACACTTCAAGCGAATATTATATTCGATTCACATTTGCATATTTTTGAATACAAGTATGTTCCAAATATTTATAATACTAGTGTTGTTAAATGGATCGATTTTTTACAACAGTTTGATTAAGATTTTAGCCAAAATAATATTTCGCAAGCCTCGAGTCCTAGGGTTTCTTCTAGCTATGAGCCAAATTCCTTAGGTTTACATAACATTATTTGGTTTATAATCTTTATCGGGCCGTTTAAAAAAAATCCACCTGAATTGGGAAACAACTCTATCGTATTACAAATAATTCCAAAATTTCTGTTTAAAAATTAAATCATTGAAATGGTAAGGCATCTTGTGGAATCATCGTTATTTTATTCGTTTCAAAAAATTATACAAAAATTTTGAATCTTAGTAAGTAATCTAAATTCAATTCAAAATAAAAGGGGAAATCGAAGTTGTCGCGGATATTGTTAACGTTTTTGTTATAATTTAGTTTTTTTAAAAAAACTTAAGTGCCACCCCCGATTTATGAAATTTCTTTAATTCGTTTAAGATAACAGATTTTATAAACAAAAACCGTTTTATGTTTATAGTAGTTTAAAAGTCAAAAATGTTTTGACTTCAAAATTTACCGGACCCGTTTTTAAGACGGAAGGTATTAGAACGGATGCACTTTGAACATATATATCATTTTAAATGAGATTGACTTTTGACGGAACGGATGTAAAAAACGGATCCGTCTCCACTTTGAATGGCAGCCTAAGTTGAGTTATTACCGACGTCATAAATATTTTTATTTTATAATAGTTTTAGTTTGTTTATCTTTTTTAAAAAAGAGTTTGTACCAAATTAATGTTCGGTATCTGATTTAGTTTTATTTCATTGTCAATTTTCCTGGAGGGAATTCTAGACATTTAGAGAAAGGCTTCATTATATTTTATAAAATTCATCGGGAAAGAAAAATGAATGGCCTAATTTACAAAAAAAAAGTTCTATTAGAAGAAAAAGGGCGCAAAAGGAATCCTATCTATAAATAATAATTAATGTTAAAGGTCAACATCACCCGGCCCATTGTAATTTTCCATTAGGTGTTTTGGGCCCACTGGCCCTTTATTATTTTGCCACACCCCATAATAATATATTATGAGAAGATAAACGCATTAAATTTGCTTAATTATCTGTTTTTTAAAAAAAACATCATTTTCCAAAACTTCTAGTCTTCCCGTAAAAATATTTTGAACAATTTGCCAGGCCCTTACTCTGACCTTTTAAAAAGATGTTTAAAAAACTTTTGTAATGATTTTTTCTTTATTTAATTTTCGGTAAATTTTCAATACCTGTAAGAATTCATAAAAATTTTGCTATATATTTTTTCTTATTTTATCTGTTTGCTTTTTTTATCTTATATATATTATATTATTATAATCAAGTTTAAGACAATTAAATATTGAGTGTGCTAGGACATAGGGGTGTCACTAGTCTTTAAAATCTCAGTGGCCTCCAATACCCTTTTTTTAGCTAACATTTTCAAAATGAAAACTCATAATTTTCGCGGCTCGAGCCCCTGCGCCTCCACCCAGGACCCGAGTGATAGCACGAACAGTGCCTTACAAGTTTTAAATCTTCCAATTATAAGCCGAATACATTTAAAATATCAATAAACATTATTTTTTTATAACACCCAAACAGGTACGATGACCGACGTAGAAAAGACAACTTTTATGATTCAGTCGACAAATATTACGAAGATCGAAAAAATAGACAATCAGAGAACGTACATTTAAAAAAATATATATATAATACAATATTTATTTAAATTTGAATCAGATTATTTTTAAATAATATAATCTCAGGTTTGAAAAACGACATTTTAAAATCTTAAGTTTTCCTTTTTTTTAAAAAAATAAATAATGTTTTGAATTCATTTTAAACCACCTAAATAACAAACAAAAAAGGGAAAAAAAGATTCCAGATGTTTCTTCGAAAGAAGTAACTTGGCCGATGGTAGAATAAAGACGGAAATTAAGTTCAAATAGTGTAAAATAAATGTCAAATGACAACTGATTGGTACTTGACAGGTCTTTGGAATCTAATATTAAGTTCTAACTATAAAAGACAGGAAAAGATGTGCAAAAATATATTAAAAGTTATAAGTACATTTTGTAGAGTTTGAAAGTTTGCAAAAAAAATCCTTGAAGATCGTAAAATTGCTTATTTTAATTTTTGGGTAAAATTTGATCAATAATCCTGTTTGAGCTTTCGGTAAAAAAGATAGAGTTTTTTGTAAATTTTGAAGAACATTCCTAACTATGAAATTTTGTTCATAGATGTATAAAAAAACAAAAGATCTTATTATACTTTATATAAATGGTCCATTGTAACAGTATGCTTAGTGATGTTATATATTTTTGTCTGGTAAATCGAAGGGTTAAATTGAATTACTTTTCCACCTTTTTTATATAATCCGAGCCATTTTTCAAATTTGGATTGGAGCAAAAGATGAAAAAAAATTCTTTCTTCTAAAGCTGCTGCACCGAAGAGTTGATTCTCCACCAAAGATTCGAAGAATTTAAATATGGAAGGCCAAAACATTCTATTAAACGTTTCGTGGTTTGGCTTGGCATTTATTAATTATTAGAAGTGTCAGACACAATCTGATATGTTAGATGATTTATTTTTTTCAATACATCCAAGGATTTTTATGATTGAGATTAGTATCTTTAAAAGTTTTATAACATTGGGTAAATTATTTTTCCTTACAAATTTTATATTACAATGTATCAGCGATATGAAACCCGTGAAATCCTGTTGCCACGAAAAAAACTCTTCCAAAGCTAAGTTGGGATAATATCTTTTAGAGGTTATTGTCGATTCTCATTAGGATTCTTTAGAACAGTATTAAATGATTATCTCTATAAATACTTTAATATTGTGCTTTTACATTTTTTTTTATCACTGAATCATTAGTGGGAGATCTATGTGTTCAAATATTTCAAAAATCAGAATTTATACTAATTAATATATTCCTCATATCCAACATTTTTTTATATGTAGTCTTATAAACGTGCATTCGAAATCATATTGTATATTTCATAAATAAGAATACCTAATATTTCGAAGTGGAATATATTTAATTTTTTTTTCTCTATTCATTAAAAATGTTTACTTTTTTTCGTGTATTTAAATGATATGAAAGTATTCATAAATCCCAACGTTTTAAAACGCTCTCCTCAAATAAAATCCAATCCTTTTTTTCTAAAAAAATCAACGATTTTAAGATAAACTCTGAAATTATGTGACTCAAACAAATTTGAAAAAATAATCTCAAAAAACTAGATTTTTTGAATATATTCAAAATCAATTGATAAGTTTGAACTTTCGATTTCTATCGCAGTGTAATCCTTAATCACATAAACCCATTTTATATTTTTCGAAATAAAAAAAAGACGAGAAGCCGATACAGGCCAGATTCCCCTCCAGCTTCATCTTATAGTGCTAAGAAGAGAATTCCGCAACATATACTGAAGAAATTGCGAGAAGCCCGGCACAACAGTCGGAGTCGATCCCGAGGCGATACGCCTCCCCACTGGAAGGAGGCCCAAAAGAGATTGATCAAACTAGACCAGCTGATCAACGCCCCTCCAACTCCTCCGCGTCAGGTTAAGTTGACATCTGAAGCTCCTAACAAGGTTGAACACATTATTATTATTATTTTGAATATATAGGAGAATGTTCGCCAAATTATTCATTCTTTTTTGCACATTGTTCTAGGATGTTCGCCGATTTTTTTTTGTGGGGAGAGTGACAAAACCTTCGTTATCAAATAATTTATCAGGTGTAGGTCCAATTTTTAATTTTTAATACTTCCCTCATCACCTTAGTAGTTATATAAATCCTTTGGGATAGATCTAATTAATTAAATGCCATTATTTGTATTGGTTAGCTTTTCTTTTATTATTTATTCCATTTTTATATGAAAGTTTTGGCTTTAATTTTAAATTGAATCATGAAATTATATTTTTATTCGAAAGTTTTGGATTTAAATTGAATAAAAGAATTATTATTTTTGCATGAAAAAATTATATTAGAATTCGGCCCGTGGAACCGTAAATTCTAAATTTTATTCTAAGAAATTATTATACTTTTCGAAACAATTAGGAGGGCTAAAGTATTTTATTTATTTTTTTAAATAAATAAATTGGACAACAATGAAAAATATCTAGAAAAGAAATATAAATTATATATTTTTCTCCTAAATTAAATAATTCTTGTATTATTACTCTTAAATATTAATTAAATTTTTTTCAATTTTATATAATAAAAAAAATATATTAAATTTTAAAAAATGTTTTCAATTTTACCTAAAATTTTAAATTTATAAAATAAAAAATAAAAATTCCAAAATATTAACTAACGATAAATAGAATAATATAATATTAAAATCTAAAAATTCCAAGAATCAATATTCTCACAATTATAATATAGAATTTAAACGATAATTGTGTTTTATCCCATAAAAGCGGTAAAATAGTTGTTAAAGAATAAGATATAGTGTCATCTATCCACAGGTCACAGGAGAAGAGATATTATACACAAAACAATGAAGACGCATTACTACAAGTTACCCGTGAAATATTAGATATTTATTTAAAATAGTGCAAGGAATACCAATTAATTAAAAGCAAAAGAAGTATTGGATTAGTTACCAATCCCATTATTTCAAAAGACCATAATTCTCGATGCCAAATAAAAATTCAATTGAAATTGATTGCTAGTGTTATTAAACGTCTCGTTTAGAGCCTTTTTTTAAAAAACGGCTAACTCATTATTTTAGCCTGAACAAATCCTCGATTAACACCTATTGTTCCTAGGGTAAGAAAAGATATATTACACCAAAATATGAAGACATACTACTAACACTAGCATTCAATTTCAATTGCATTTTTACTTGACATCGAGAATTATGGTCTTTTGAAATAATGGGATTGGTAACTAATCCAATACTTCTTTTGCTTTTCTTTAATTGGTATTCCTTGCACAATTTTAAATAAATATATATTATTTCACGGGTAATATTGTAGTAGTGCGTCTTCATTGTTTATTGTAGAATGTCTCTTCTCCTATGACCTGAGGATAGATGACATTTATGGATTGTGTCATATATATCTTCATCTTTAACAAATATTTTTACCGCTTTTATAGGATAAAACACAATTATCGTTTAAAGATTTTAAGTTATATTATTGTACTTATCGTTAGTTAATATTATTTTAGAATTTATAAATTTTTATTTTATAAATTTCATAATCCATGTTTTTAAAATTTAATATATTTTTTTTTATAAAAATGGGAAAAATTTAATTAATATTTAAGAATAATATACAAGAATTATTTAGTTTAGGAGGAAAATATATAATTTTTTTTCTTTTTTATTAAATAAATGAAAAGTATTACAATAAAAATTCTATAAACAAAATATGATTTTTAGAGAATAGATCCTAAATAATTTAAAAAAATTATCTGAAAAAAATATATTAAAAAAAGATTATAACCATTAAAATTAATATAACACATCAAAATATATCTAACAAAATCTACAAATTATAATAATAAATTTATTAATTTGTTAGGATACATTGCCTTGTTAGGATACATTGCCTGATTTAACTAGGCAATGTGCACATTACCGAAATAACCAATTTACCCTAACTACCACTATAACAAATTGTCGAAAATAATCAGGCAATACGCTAACATATAGAGGGACCCTGAGTGAACCAGAATGAAACGCTATACCGTTATAAATATTTAAACCGTAATCTTTCCGATGTAATTATTTTTAGAGGGAGTAAAAAGAACCTCTATAAAAAAAAGGTTACACCAGTTTGAAGCTGTTTCAGCCAAAATAAAATAAATAATTTTACATTTTATTACATCTTATCCTTGTGGATTACATATTTTACCTTGTCTGCGTCGTAATTTATAATTATTAAATAGTGCTGTAAACATTTTTAAAAAAATCGAACGCGTTCAACGTTCATTGACAAAAATCGAACGCGTTCAACGTTCATTGATAAAAATCGAACGCGTTCACGTTCAAATTCAAAAAAAGGAACGCGTTCATTCAAAATTTTATGAAAAATTTTTTTTAAAATTTAATTTAATATAAATAAATGCCTTATATTTTTCAACACAATATATTAGCCATGATAAAAAAATAATAGTTTTATTTTGATAATATAATTATAAATACAATATAATATAATAGAGCGATAAAAAAATAAATTTATAAAATTTTTTTCTTAATATTAAAATGCCTTATTATAATTAACTATATATGTATATATTATGTAATTATTTTTACTTAGAACAATTAAAATAAATTATTAACTGGCTATATAGTTATACATATTATATAATATAAAATAATTAATGTTACAATCAGATGTCTTTTTAAATTGGAGCTTGAAGATGTTGACACTGATATAATACTTTTTGGACACATTTTACATTTGGTAACTATTGAATTACCTTTTGATTTTAAAACAGTGAAATATTTTTGATATTTGGGCCATGGTAATTCTAATTCATCTAATATTGAATTTTGATTTTCAGAATCTGATGATGAAATATTTATATCCATGCAAATGCTAATCTATTAAATTAAAATATAAAATATTCAAATTAATAAACTTTAATCTTATCTTCTCTAGCAGTAGCACGTTATGGAACGTTAATTGCAATATGAAAGATGAAAAAGTAAAAACAGCTGATTAAAAAATATAAGTTTTTTATTAAAAAATTGGATTAAATATTAATTTTTCAAATAAATAAAAATATAAGACTTTTTTGTTAAAAAATGCGGATTAATATTAATTTTTCAAATAAATAAAAATAAAAAGTGTTTTTAAAATTGAACGAACGTAAAATTGAACGCGTTCATCAAAGAAAAGGAACGCGTTCACGTTCAAAGTTCGTCATAAAAAAAGCCGTTCATCACCTTTTTTCAAAAAACGAACTTCGTTCACGAACGCGTTCATTTTGAACGCGTTCGTTCACAACACTATTATTAAATGAAAAAATATTTGCTTAATATCCATAAGAAGTATATATTAATTATTCACTATGACTTAAATTTATCCACAATCTTTTAACTGCTTCTTATAGTATTAGAGCATTTATATTTCCTATATTTTAGTAAGAAAAATATCTAAATAACCTATTTTTGATTTGGGGATATTTAATTAATCTAAAAAATCATCAGTTTTTATATTGGGAATCAAAAAAATTTATCCAAAATTATTTAAACTTGTTCTTATAGTACTTGCGGTTCCCGTAACACAAGTTTCTGTTAAAAGGGCTTTTTTGGGGCTAAAATTTGTGTTATCGCCATAACGAACAAATATGAAGCCACTTATATTAGAAAATATATTACTTAATAATAATATATTTAGAAATGAGTTAAGATTCTAATTTCATCTATTTTATAAATAAACAATATTATTAACTTAAAAGTGATGGCAAAAATTTTAATATATAATATTTATAATTTAAATCATTATACGATGGTGGTGTTGCTTCAGTAAAATAAAAATAATTTAGAAAAAAATTTATAATCATAATGAACCTTTGCAATTAGCTGAACCGAACCATAGCTTTATAAATTTTTTCTTAAGAACCTTGACCATTATAATATTTTGCATACTTGAACTGTTATAAATAAAGATTTCGGGTTAATATTTTTAATAAATATAAACTATTCAGTCTATACACTTGATGCTTACTTAACTAGGATAAAAATATATATTTTTTATAATATAATTTATAAATTTTATGTTCTTATATTTTAACATATGATTAATTAAAATTATGCTGACGCTTATATTTATATATTATTATTTCTAACATATTTCATTGAATTTTCACTTTCTTATTATTAAATGAGAATAAATTAGTTTTATAACTAAAATAAATGCTTAGGCAAGTATAAAAAATCATTTATAAAATAATATTAACTCTTTTGATGCTTTTATAAAAAATTTCTTATCGTTTATTCAATTGTGAGTTTTTATAAAAAAAATAGAATAGCATCCGCTAGATAGCGTTTTATATATTATTAAAAAAATTAATTAAATTGTATTGGTTTTACACTGGGGGAAAGGCACGACAGATGTAAAATTTGTAGTGAGATAAATAGAAGTATCTTGCAAAGGAAAAGAAACTGTATTATGTTTCTATTGATTTGGAGAATGCATTTGATAGAGTCGTGCGAGGTTACTAGATGGGCTTTGAGAAAATCAGGTGCAGAAGAATGGTTGGTTATGACACTGTTGATGGCAATGTATGTGGGAGCACAAACTGCGGTACAGACGGATGGTGGAAATAGTGAAATCTTTGAAGTGGAGGTAGGACTTCATTAGGAATCAGTGCTGAGTCCATTAAAATTTATATTAGTAATGGATGTGATGGCTAGAGAGTTGCGTGAAAAACTTCGCTATTATATGCATATGACTTTGTATTAATGACAAACATTGATGGATAAAATTAGTAGATGGAAGATGGCTATGGAATCAAAGGGTCTGAAATGAATGCATTGGTGGAGATAATCTGAAAATGGAAGAATCTGGCAACTGGTTTTGTGTTATATGTGGGAAATGAGTTTCTAGAAATTCAATCTAATGCACCAGATGCTAAAAATTACTGCATTAAAGATTTATCTCCAAAAAAAGGAAGTCTGATGTTAACATAAATGCCCTTTATTTGTAGAACGTGCATTAAAGGATACTGATAACATAGAAAATGGTCCTTTGAATATTGGCAATGGGTTAACCCTGGGAAAAGTGGAAAGTTTTTCTTATTTTGGGGATATGCTAAACGTAGATGGTGGTGTAGATTCAGCTGCTGTTACTAGGATCAATTAATCATGGAAGAAGTTCTAATGGGGAAATATTTAAGATGGACAATTAAACCGGATTGGAAAGAATAAAGATGAGGATGATTAGGTGGATGTGTGGGATATCTCTGAGAGAGAAAAACGGGCAAGGAATTATAAACAAGAATGGGAATAATATTGATTAGAATGGTAATGTGAAGAAATAGACAAAAATGGTTTGGGTTTATAGAACGTAAGACATAAAAATGACTGGGTAAAGAGATACACCATGATGGAAGTAGGAGTATCAAGACCTCAAGGAAGTCTCAAGGTAACTTGGATGAAGGTGATATCGGCGGCTATGAGAAATTAATCTTACAAATATTGATGCTCAGAACGTCAAAAATGGAAAAGAAAAATCAGAGGGGAGCGAACCTGGGTAAATCTGGAAATCGCCATTAAACGAAGAAGAAATTGTAGCTATAATATTAATAATAACTATAAAAAATTAAGGTTTATCTAAAAAAACAGGAAATATTGCATGGAAAATATCTTGGAAATAATGCTGTTGGTGAGGTTACTATAGTTAGCTTTGAGAATAGTTATGTCCAGACTCTGTCTTAGAAGCCTTCTCGAGAATCATTAAAGAGCTTGCAGATCATAAATCTTTGAAGAAGTAAAGTATAAGGCAAATAACCCAGGAATGTTAATGTGGTGTTGTGATGAAATATTAGGTGGTTAGCTGAGCGATATTTAGCAATAATTTATTATAACCGAGCAATATTAACGATTTAATAATGATTTTGTTATAATCATATTGTATCTTCAACTTTATTAATATATAATGTAGTAATCGCATATAAATCATGTATATATATATATATAATATAGTTGTCACACTCTAAATCATTTAAAATATATTCTTAATAGCTATATATATAAACTATTTTTTGATCATTAATATAAAAATAATTATCTGAAGGAAATATAAAAACAAGAAATTACTTAAGTTACGTGTTATATAAAAAGCCAAAATAAATAATATTAAAAATAAAACTAAATTGATTTTATTTTAAATTTACAAAAAAAAAATTAAAATTCTGACCCGGTTGATATAGCCGAGAAATTAAAATATTTAAATATTCTTAAATTAACAAATTTTATTATTTTTTTTACCAATCGTTATCTCTTCCTTAGACATATGTCTCATTGCAGAACTTTAAAATTTTTGAAAAAATATAGGCAGCAAATTAAGAGCCCTTACATCTGTACCCAAAGAATTTTATTTTTTAAAAAACGAAAAATGTACAAATTACAATTTTAAAATATATTTATGCATTTTTTGGAGGGAACTTGTAGTCCCCCACCTTCGTTTTTTTATTGAATTATATATTAGGAATTTGTATAAATTAAAATAAAAAATTTAACAGATTTATTATGTGGTTATGATCGAACTATATTTGGTAAAATAATTTATTATGTAGTTAGCCGAGAAATAATATTGTAATAAATGATTTATCATGTAACTTAGCCTTGCAATAGATAGGCACACCCCTTTTAATTTTAGTTTATAAGGTTTACACATTTTTTTTTAAATTTAAATAATCAAAACATTTGTTAAAAATGTTTTAAAAAAATTTTTTTTTTTAACTTATAAAATTTTATATATTTCATAATGTAATTCAATACAAGCTTTATCAATAGTTTATAAATTTCGCGGGAAATGGATGTTATTAATGTGATAAAAATGAATGTACGTTCAATTACAAAATAAAAATGTTCTCGAGAGGTTAATTAAATTGATTATTTTTTTTATAACTTTGAAACAAAACAGGATGCTAAATTGTACCTTAATTACCTTGTTAATTTTCTTCCCTGAGTAACAAAGGGTTTGTCAGCTTCCTTTAAACCGCCAAGATATGCACTCCCATGGGGCGGGTCCTAGAAACCTGAAAAATGAATAATTATTATTATACCGCATTGGCGTTAAAGTTTTAAAAGGGGTGATTTAAAAACTAAAATTGGGTCTTTTTTAAAAAAAAAACAGAGCATTCCTTCAAAAATTCACGCACCTCGCGATGAAGAAGATGGCCAAGATTTTTACCACAAATTTTACGGGGCCAAACAAACTGTCGCTACCGTCGAAACTTCATTCAACTCACCCGAGGACCAGGTGGACGCCGATCACGACAAGAGGCAGAAAATGTTACAGGCCTTTTGGCCCGAAGGTAAAATTATACCTTGCCCATAATCGATATCATTAAAGGGTAGTCAAATCATATTTGATATAGCCGAAAAATAGAATCTAGACCCTTGCAAAGACATTTCTCAGATTCGGACCTAACGGGACTAAATTAAATGATTTAATAGAATGTAACTTTTGTAGATTGTGTTGTTATGAGTTTCTTTTGAATAGTTTTAGTTTACAAGTTACATTTTTAAAAAGGATTAGTAGTCGCAGCTACATTTCAAAAATAACTTTTGTAACGTAATTTATTTATATAACCTAGTGGTCTTAAATGGCTTTTTAATAACGGCTAACCAAATATTTTAGCTAAATAATATTTCGCAAGCCTGGAGATTTTGCTCATAGATGGCAGAAAGGTTTTAGCTATTTAAAGAAAACTCGACAAATCGATTTATTCACTTAAATCTAAATAAATCATCTCTTTCTATTTAGGTTGTTTAGAAAAGGCCATATATATGGCTGAGGTGTCCATTTTAAGAAGAAGATTTTGTTTTTAATTATCATTTTAATTTATAGTTAATAGAGAAAAAAATTATCAAAATATCTTTTTCGAGTTAATTACGACAAGTAAAAAAACAACTTTAAAAGCTTACAACATATTTTATACATAAATGAAAGTGTGTCACAACCAATAAGTGTGCATATAATGAACTACAGTAGACATCATTAAAATGTATCTTGTTTAAATGTTTTTCGCATTTATTCTAAATGTTCTTTAACGAAATATAAAATATTTAGGAAACCTTAATAAAGCCTAACGTCCTTATATTTAAGCATCAGTGCGGAACCAATATGATTTAACCCTTTTTTAAATATATATTGACAGGTAAGCCACAACCTATTCCCCAAGAAGAGACTGCTGTCTCGCATGCTGTAAAAGTTATAAGTTCTTCTTTCGATCATCTATCTACTGTCAAGGTTTCACATTCTTTTTATATCTATATGATCCAAAAAATTTATTATTACTATTTAAAAAAAAATTATTTTGCGTTTAAAAATCAAACTTATTAACTTCGAAATTGTTATTATCTAAATTTTTAGTGCATAATGCTTACCAAATTTAACATCTGGATGGATTGATGCATTATTAAATTTATCATATGTTGATGTATTGATACCCAAATTTTCAAGTACCTTGTTGTTAGTGTTTACACATTTAAAAAAAATGATTGGCATTAAAATATGAACCATAGAATTTCTGTTTATTTTGCAAATAATTACAAAAAAAAATTAATTACGCCCGCTTTCGTAAGGAATCTAATATCCTCCGTCTCCCGTATATCATTTTTAGCAAAATGCTTAGTTTTTTTTATTCTCTCTCTCTCTAAGTACACTCATTATTAAATTAACAATTTTTTTTATAATGCTTTTATCAAATAATAAATTTATTGTCTTATATATTTTTTTAGGTAGTTAATTTTATAGATTTCTTTTATGGGGCTTAGATCTGTATAGCCCAGCCTGCAGTTTGTGGCTTCTTCATACCGGGTTTGTAGAGCTTGGCTTGCTCCAATTTTTTTTTCTAATTTTAATAATGCAAGCATATGATTACTTTTAATCATGAAAAAAAAAGCGGGGATTTAAATATCTTATCAATTTATTTTATATACAGTCCAGAGTGGAAAGAGCGACTACTAAGAATATTGAAAAGAAGAGTGGCGAGAAGCGGGATCGAGGCGGACATCATCATAGGCATCATCACGGTCGCTCCCATCATCATCACCACCACCGCGAAAGGCATCGACACGAGCAACCTAAGACTCCAATCATCGCTTCTTAACACTCCCCTCCACCTATGGTATTATAACTTAAGCCCCTTATACCCAACCATACTTCCCTCAAGATTATTCCGAAAAAATATTATCTTATATTTAATATATAAGATTTTCACTAATTATCATCAGTTATTCAGTATCCCTGTTTATTACAATATAATCATACCTATAAAAATGTCATGAATAAAATTATTTGCCCTGCATATTTTCCTAAATCTAGCCCATACTACAAGTTTCATAAAAGAAATGGTCCTTTTATAACTATCATCTATGATACCTATATGAATAACGGTTAACTGTGATTAATAAAGCAAACATTATTCTTTATAATTCTAACTTATACACTTTATTTTGACTCTATCTTCTTAATTTGCATCGCTTATATACTTTTAATATCTTTATATTGCTACGGTATACATATATTTACAATTACTGAATATATTCTATCTATTTCATAATACAATTTGTTTCTTATTATTGAAATTTACTTTTATTTTATAATAATTATTAATTTATTTGTAAAAAAAATATTATATATTATAAAATTTTGGGGGTATCATTTTTATTATAACTAAAATTTTTTAAGATATTTTATATTTAAATTTGAGATATTCAATCTATAAGTATAAACACTTGATTATACCTTTCATATTTGATAGTTTGTCTATTTGTTAATATACTATTTTACCTTAAAATTAATAATGTAGTAAAAATGTATTATTGATTTATTCCAAACAATACCAGTGGCATAGCAGTAGGTAGGAACTATTTTCGGGTTTGCATTCTGAACCCCTCATAACATTATGACATTTTTAAATATCAAAATTCAAACATCTATTCTTTTTTTAAATCAAGATAAGATTATTTTACATCATGGATTAATGTTCTAATATTTTTTTACATGGGTGTCAATAATTTATTTTTATACTGATTATGATAAAAAATACTTATAATCGCTAAAATTATATCTAAAAAAATATATGCAAATATTTTTGAGCTGGTTCCCAAGAAGGGACCATAATTTGTATTTTGAAGTCTCAATTTCCATTTTTTTGGCTGAGAAATAAAATATTTTGGGTGGTTAATGAAAGTTTTTATTATTTTAGTTTAATATGAAGAATACCTTGTGGTGTACAAAACGATTGAGGTAAAATAAAATATAATTTTCGAATTTCAGTCCTTGAGCGAATTTTTTTAATTGCATGCACCTCAGATCGAGTTTATAAATTACATGGAATCTGGTTTTGGGTTGAGCCGATTTCTACGACTTCGACTAGGATTCTGGGTCGAAAAAAACCAACAATTTAGCAACACTACCCGTTAGTAATTGAATGAGGACCACAAAAAAATAACAACTACGATGTTCGGTGGCGGACTGGCCATAAGATCAATTGGACATTTTGTCGAGGTCGCAAGAAGTCGATGAAAAAGAAGCCGATCAGAAAAAATATTTTTTCTTTATCATAATAGTTATGATTTTTCTCTTATGTTATATTTCCTTTTTAGTATTTTAGAATATCACATTTTATCAGGATTATCATTTAAATAGTGCTATTTTATAGGTTTTTCAAGAAAATGCTCGTGCGTTTTGATTGTTATTGTTTATCTGAGGCAGTTTTACAGGAATGCGTCTACATAAGTGGGAGGGGTAGGGTCAGTTTGCAAATTTTTTGATGGAGGTAGGGGGTAGCTTTTTGGGGTGATATAATAGGGGTAGGATAAATGGGTGGGGTTATTTATTAAATTTTTAGATGAGATAGGGCATAATGTATTGCCTTAAAAATTAATACTTTTAGTATAGACCTATTATAATTAGATGGCACACAATCATATACATTATTTTCCAAATAAAACTTACTGGGTCATTTTTTGCTATTCAGTTAAATGTAATATCAAGGGGTTAAAAATTCTATCAGTAAACTCATCGTGCCAAAATAATATATTATAAATCCATTAATTGTAAATGAGGGAGTTTTTATATGAATTCATGTTATAAAAAATAACTCTTACATTCAAAATATTCTATGGTTGGCAGTAGAACAGTAATCATTTAAATTTTTTTTTTAATATAATGATAGGAATGCAATTATTATTAAAAAGTTTAATATGGGAATATAGCCGTCGAAGCTGGGGGAATTTTTTGGTAGATACAGCTGTTTGAGAGGAGGTTGCATCCAGTGAATATCCTGTAGACGCTGTTTACAGGACAACCTTAATAAATTTTTTTAATTAACATTGTAAACTAAATATTAGTTAATAAACTAGTTTATCTTCAATGCCACGTTGGTTTTAAAATTTAAGTAATAGCTTTCATCAATTTCCTGTCAAGAGTTGCTTTAACACAAATAATATTTTTTGAATTTCTATAAAAAAAAATCAGCATTTTTTTAGAATTTAATATAATACATAAATTCCTTCAATCAAAGCTTCCCCGCAATTAGCGTCTACATGACAAGATTTTCACTGGATGCAAACCCCCTTCAAAAACCTTTGCCTACCCCCCTAATTTCAATTAAATTCTCCATTATTTACAATGAATTAATTATTATTGCATTATGAGCTTGCTGATATATCTAAACCTTTTAAATTACATTTAAAAGGATAGCAGAAAGTTTTATTTGGAAAACAATGTGTATAATTGTTTGCAATATATAGATTTAATCGATGAATTGTATTATAATAGTTCTATAATAAAAGTATTAATTTCTACAGCAATAAATTTTGTACTATTTCATCTCAAAATTCAAAAGATAATCCCCCAAAAAATTTATCCTACCCCCATTAAAGCCGCCTACATATACCCCCCTCAAAAAATAGGATGCAAACTGTTCCTACCCCTCCCGCTCATGTAGACGCTGCCCGCAATTTTACTAACGCATTAAAATTATTTCAATATGTATCAAATGTAAGAACTAATAATTAAACTTTAAATAATACTCAGACATCTTACCCATAATAACTACTTGTACAAGTGAAAAATTATTTGCCTACACGGACCTATATTTTATTTGAATTTAAAATAATTTTTTACCAATATTAAACAAAATTTATAATATTTTTATTAAGTTAATTTTATCAATACCTGATTTGTATTTTTGATAATGAGTTAATAAGAGAATTCAACAGGGATTACATATTTTTTTACCTCTTTTTTTTGATAATAACTCGTTGAAAACATAGAAGTTAAATAAATTTTATTTGTCTGCTGCCTTTAAACTTTTCAATATATAGAAATCAAGATCAAACTTTCGAATCTCTTTAAGCGCGCACTTAATGGGGTTTGGTCAATCGCTGGGTGGTTGACGCTAAATTCAAGATCATTTATATGTCCGACACATTTAAAAAAAAATTTTATTCTTTTATATATGATAATTATAAAAATTGAAATATGAATTTTCGATTAGTTCTTCCTTTTAACAAAATCTAAAAAATATGCCGATAATAATCTCTAATAGTGTATATTTTATTTTTAATTTTATTTATCTATTTTTTGTTAAAAAAAAATAAATCAATTAACAATTTAAAACCATATATTATTAAAAATTTATATCGATGTGCTAATTCACGCCGTTAGCCGCCGATTTGATTTTTAAAAACTATCATCAGAACTTTTAATATTAAACATAAGATCCCATTCTTCTTTATAATTGTGGGTCAAATTATATACTAAATCATCCGAAAGGCTCGTATTATATTCATCATCATTTTTGAATAAACACCGGGGTACGTGAATATAACATTTTCTCATTTTGTGCCGGCAAAGGGTTTGTAAAGCTGTCCATAAAAAAAGAGAATATAATATATCATTAAATTATTTATTTTAATTTTTAAATATTTTTCCATGGTTTTCGACATATTATGAGAGCATAAAATACGTATAAACAATATATTTTTTTTAAATATTTTATTCCCATTCAATTCGAACATCATAGGAAAAAAATTAACCTAAAAGAATCTCTTAACCCTTCTATTATTACGGTTCTTTGAAACAAGGTCCATTTTAAACGGAGCATTTATTAAAATATTATAATTTAACAAACTACACTAATAATTTATTTCAATAAAAATCAACTGAATATCTATATAAAATAATTTTTCCAAATTTTAGATAAATTTTATTTGTTTAAAATAATATGGTGTAACAATGGTAGCGTATAAAAAAAATATGTTATAATATAATATTCGAAAATAATCAAAAAATAATTAATATTTTATGCATAAATTTGAAAATTATATTATTGTTTAAATAAATAAATATAAGTATCATGAGTAAACAAAGATTTATATATTTCCCTGTTACGGCCAGATTATCTTCATAATCTTCAACTGATTTATGGCAATAATTTCATTAAAATGTTAGGATTATTGTTAACCATTCGAGAAATTTATAAAATTCATCTTCTCCTTTCCTCATCTGAGTTTTCTGTTAGATAAACATCTCTTCGTTTAAAAATGAAAAATGGCGAATAAGGGGATAAAAATAAAGGCTCCCAACTGAACGCCCAGATACTGTTTAATATGGCGGTTGAACGATGAAACGTTATTCATAACTAGCATAGATCATATTATCTTGTGTCAGAATATATATAATTCGCTCAAAAAATTCTTAGAATTTAATTGTAAAATTTCTAAATGAATTATTCCTTATTTTATTTTTATTAGAAATGTGATATGCTCATAAATATGTTCCTTTCAAGTTTCAATTAATTGTGCATATCCGATTTACATTTTTTAATTACTCCTTTTTATATCAATGAACAAACAGATCCTCTGATGGTATTTTGGAAAAGAAAATAAAATTACAGAATATCATTATTCTAAACCCCCCTTTCACAGTAGAATTTGATTTCGCATTATTTCCCAAATCTTATAAAGCAGTTCGTCGTAAATATTAAGAATTTATGGGAAAAAACACAACTTTCTTTTTATTCAAAAATTAAAAATTTGTTCGAAAGAATGATAAAAATAGTGGGGAATCGACATTTTTTTAAATAATATTTTCTATGATGCTCGAGTTGAATGGGAATTAAAAGAATTTTTTTAAATGTTTACGTATTCTCTTCATATTATTCATAAGTTTTTGTTAGAAAAAATTGGGGTAAGTCCAAAACGTTTAATCAATTAGAATACAAGCAAATAAAATCATTTTTAAATATGATTATTTCGTAAAATTAACGGTTAATAATCTTGATCCATAAAAATAAAACCCTGATATAAATTGAATAATTTAACAATGTTATTCTATCCTTTTACTTGAAATGATTCTTAACAATAATAGAAAACGTATTTGATATAAGCTACTTTAAAAAAATCTTTAATTATAAAGGATCAAATTTGCCAAAATATATTATAAGTATATAACCCTGCAATCACAGTTTAGAGCGAAGTGTACAAAATTGAATATAAATTACTATATTTATAATGATGTATACATCGCCGCGAATAGGCATTAATCGTGAATGCGGATTAAGATTAGTTTATGCTCAAGTTACAGGAAGATCATATTTTAATGCAACTAAAATATTCAATCAATAAATTCACTTTTCTCGGGATATATTTTATCAATATGTATTATGAAAATTAAAATCAAAATGGTGATTTAATTTGGATAAACAGATTTTTTTTTTAAAATTTTTTATAATATAAAAATTATCCCATGATTTAAAAAACAAATCTAACTTGGAATTTTGGGATTAAGATCTTCGATTATTTTTCTCCATCTTTGAGCTGCTTCTTCTAATGCAGGTCTGGCTTCAGTTGCGATAGCACCTAACCCATTCAAAATGCCAAATTTAATATTAAATTGCAATCTCATCTTTTCATTGCACTGGGAATAGTTCATTTGTTTTTCAATCCTTCTCATTATTTCCGAAGGGGTACTTCTGCGAGGACTTATAATACATTCCAATAAGTATTGGTGGTAGGCATAAGCTTCATTTAAACATTTTAAATCTGTTTTAATCATACCTCTATATATAAGACCAGCATAGACGCTGCATCGCATGGCCCTTGGGAAACCCACCGGTAAATCATTATTATCCACAGGATCTTTTAATAGTCCAACATAGCAACATTTACAAATATGATGACACCATAATTTACCTATTCTTGCTAAGGTAACATAAGCAGAAGGAATTCCTGAGTATGAATCTATAATAAAGTATTTTTTCTTTAAGGCTAATAATTTTTCAGATGTCTCTCTCTCAGTTGTATTTATAATTTTGTCAATTTTAGTACCCCTGGTAGCAAATATCTTTGCCAAATATGTCATGTCCTGAGTCAATACCACGCCACTTCCTGCGATACTATATAGGCATCGTAGCATTTTAGTAGCTTCTATTGAAACTCCGGCAATTTTAGATGTTCCATATCTATCCATTAGTTCTCTAACGTTAAAATATTTTAAAATATCAAGTCAAGTTTCATAACATACCATTTTTTGTCATGTTCAGAGATCTATCCGACCCAGCCCAAATTTTTATCTTAAAAAACTTAGAATTCAGGCATATTTAATTTGTTTTTATTTCTTCTTCATAAAAAAAAATAATCGTGAGTCGAGTACCTAAAATTTTACGGGCCGGTTCAGGTCGGTTTCTAAAGTACACAAACAACAAGTAATATTGATTAAAGGTTTACTAGCACGATGGCTTACTACTACAAGTAGGAAACGAAATATTATTATCTTCAATCGTTCAAAATATTTTTTTCCCCTTTTTGGGCATAGTATGCCTCGCATTTACTAATCAAAAACGATGCCTAAAAACATCAACCCCAGAAAAATAGGTGTTCGATACGATATCTCTATTAGTGTTGTTAAATGGCTCGTTTTGAGCCGATTTTTAAAAAAGGCTTACTATATATTTTATCCAGAAAAATATTACGCAAGCCTGAAGATTTTGTTCATAGAAGGAACAAAGGTCTAAACATATATTATCGAAATCTCGAGGCTAAGACAATATTTTTCTGACTTAAATATCGAGTTAGCCGTTTTTAAAAATCGTCTAAAAACGAGCCGTTTAACAACACTAATCTCTATCGAAGTTAAAAGGGATGATAGATAGACTGATCAAGTGACGAGGTTAAAATAAAATATGAAGCTTATAGCAATTCAAATGTATTTCTCATATTGGGAATAGAATAGTGGGAAGACATTTTTAAAAAAATAGTTATACACTTTATATTATTAGTATTAGGGGTTTCAACTCCTATAAAAATTAGTCTTGCACAATTTTTTCTAAACTTTATGTAGTATAATATTGTTTTCTAATTTTAATTTAAAGGGCATAAAACTCGATTCAAGAAAATAAGAAACAACTAATGACAGGATTTTAGTAGGAAAAAATTAATTTAGTAGAGTATGATGTGATTTACTTACTTTATTTTATGTTAATTTTTTTTAAAGTGTTATCAATTTGTATGCTGTACATTTGATAAATTTTTAAATATCAAATTTAAAAAAATTATAATTTAAAAATTTTTTTCAAGCCATAATTCTTGGTTGTATTTCAAATTGTGCAATAAACAACTTTGCATCAGTGTAACAAAGAGTGGTCGGTAGGGGGGCGAAGATGTTTCTATCCCCTTTGAAAATTTGAATTCTTGTAAATATCATTCTAATAAAAATACCCATGCACCCATATCCCTAAAATATTTTACAATATTTAACTTAAAAAAAGGAATAAGGTAATTGTTGATATTTATTGTTATTTGAATATTAATCAAATTCAAACATTTTTATATATGAAATAACTAGCCATGCCCAATATATGATAAATCTTATTTTAAATATCAAATTTAAAAAAATTATAATTTAAAAATTTTTTCAAGCCATAATTCTTGGTTGTATTTCAAATTGTGCAATAAAGAAAACTTTGCATCAGTGTAGCAAAGAGTGGTTGGGGGACGAAGATGTTTCTATCCCCTTTGAAACTTTGAATTCTTGTAAATATCATTCTAATAAAAATACCCATGCACCCATATCCCTAAAATATTTTACAATATTTAACTAAAAACAATAATTTGAAAGAAAATTAAGTAAATGTTAATAATTTTTTAAATTAATGACTATAATTAACATTCTATAAAAATAAACTGTGACAAACCCAAATTATTTTTAAAAATTTCAAATAATAATACCAAAATTTTAATGCCCAGGCTGGCCCTTTAAAATTTTATGAGATATATGACCTGGTCTATAATTTTTAATTTTCTATAAAATAGGGAATAATTATATTTATAGACTTGATTTAATTAGGCAGTTCTTTTAAAAAAAGGAATAAGGTAATTGTTGATATTTATTGTTATTTGAATATTAATCAAATTCAAAAATTTTTATATATGAAATCACTAGCCATGCCCAATTTTTATGAAATTATCCAACCCATTAATTTATTTGCTTAGCCAGTCCCATTATATAACCCAGCCCTGTCCACTGATCTGATGTGATATCAAATCTGATAATGCATAGTAAAATTAGGGGAAATCTTAGAAAAGATTAAGAAATTGAATTTGAATCTATTTTTGTAATACTAAAAATTTGCAGATGGAAAGCATGATTTGGAAGTGTAATGAATATTGATTCAGTCAAATATAATGATTTGAGGTTTTGGTTCCTAAAAAGTATCAGTTCCATGCTAACCTTAAACAGATCTGAAGAGTTTCACATACATAAACTAGAGTTATACATAGTAATGTTTTAAGATTTATCATTAAAATCCATTTACAAAGCAGTTAATATATTTTTAAAATTATTTTCCTAAAAATATTATTGAGTGAGGTGTATATTTAAAATATTTTCATGATTTTTTCTATGTAATATAATCTATAAAGAGAGAATAAAAAAATTAAATGAATTTTAATAAAGGAACTATATAATTTTGTTTATTATATATTATATATTTGAATAATCACATTTGTTATTAATATATTTTTTTAAAATTTTATTCAAAATTGTGTATATTTACAACATATTAAAATCTTTAAATCTCATGCAAATTTTAAAATATTCATCAAGTATATTGTTTAAACATTCTTAAATTTTGGCATAAAAATTAACATGTATAAAAAATATAGCAATAGCCAATTTCAAAGCAAAAGAACTTGATTTAAATGTGATAATAAATATTTTTATAAATAAAAATGAAAGAAGAAATGTATTATATCATTCACAAAATAAATATATTAAATTTAGTTATTTTCATTAAAAAAAAACTTTAAGAGAAAGAAAAAAATAACTAAACTAAATTAAAATTAACTATTTTTTTTACAATTAATTAAATTTTATTATGTTTTTTATAAAGTTTTGAACAAATTTATTTAAAAAAATTCTGACTTCATAGACTTTTTTTTATTAGTGGCCACTTCTGTGTCAAAAGTATATGAAAAATGAATACTAACATTCAACAAGTTTTTATTATAATGTTATCTAATGTAATCAGTAATTTTTTGGTTTTTTATTAATTATTTGAGGTTAAAATGCTTTAATTAGAATCAGGCAACAGAATTTCAATTTGAGGATGCTGTTTTTTTTTAATTTCCAACATTAGCAAAAAAATTAATAAAAATATTCAAAAAAAAATCGATCTAAAATTGGCAAGAAAAATAATTTTACCTAAAATTTGCAAAAAAGGACTTATCTAAATAAAATTTAATATTTTTTAAGTGAATCTCCAAAATTTTAAGAGGGCTTAAGGCTCTATTCACATGTCTCTACATTATTAAACACATTTATAAAATTATGATAATATTACTTGGGAAAAAAATTTGAATTTTAAAAGGATAAAATAAACCAATAAAATAAGATTTAAAAATCAGAATGAGTGATGGCCCTTAAATTTGATGCCTGACAATAAACTGATAAATTTATTATAACATTTCGGTAATTATTTCATTATATAAAAAATGGCTTTTGTTTATTATTTCAGTATTTTATTCTAATTGCCAGTATTTAAAACATATTTATTCAACATAAATAACAAAATTAATGACATGTCAAGATCAAGATTCAGTATAAAATTTGGGTAAATATACGGTGGTATAATTAATATATTATATATATATATATAGTAAAATAAAATAAAATTTAGTATTGTTTAGAAAATCTACTACATTACAATATCAACATATAGAAAAGTAAGCTTTTTATAAGCATCTTAGAATTTTTTTCATGAGACATGATCTGAGTGTATAAGAATTAAATAATTTGTATAAATATATTCCCATTTTCTAAGCTTAAAATTATTAATTCGAGTATTTTTGTTTCATGTTTTTTTCTTTGAGAATTTCTATTTTATGTGGGTCTTCTAGTCCTTGGGTAATTAAGCAGCGAATATTTTTAGTAATTTTTTTGTTCAGGACATTTAGATCCGGGATTGGCTCAAACTTAAAGTCCCATTAAAACTAGCTTTACTAATTATTATATTAGTTAATATTTTAAACGTATAAAAAATAATTTTGAAGTTCCTTGGCTTTAAAAACCTTAAAATAGTACTGAAAAAAAGTTAAATAGTATTTTAGTATATTTTAAAATTAAATAAAATAAAGTTTGAAATGCTGTTCAAAATAGAGGAAATGCAAAGTTTTTATCTCTAAAAATTTTTCTAATTTTTTGAAAAGGATTTTTCTTTAAATTTTATTTAAAATTTAAAATCTTTGTAATAAAACTTTTATGGTTGTATGCAAAAAAATATTTTTCACGACTGAAATCACAAATTTTATGATCTTCCTTAAAAAAAACCTTCGTATGATCTTCAAAATTTTTTCCTCAAAATGTTGTGCAAATATATCTTCAAATTAACTCAATTTTTTCAAACTCTGCTAAACCATAATTTTATAATCATAATTTTGTCATGCAAACATTTCTAAATTTAGATATCAAAATTTTATATTTTATAAAAAAAAATTAAATAATTATTTAAAAAATTTTTTTGCTTTTAGATGTACAAAATACTAAGATCTATAATCTTATATTAAAATGGGATCAAAGGGTTTTACATGACCGATAGTTCAACTAGCCCTGTCTCCCCTTTTACGATCCCCTTTTCATTTAATGATTTGAGATTAATATTATGCTAATATAATATCGATGCAAATTGCAAGACTATAACTTTAATATAAATATTCGGCAGCATTTCTAAATGTCAAAAATCTTAAAACTAGAATAGAATTAACCTCAAAGTAAAAAAAATTCACAATTTAAAATTCTACAAATTGGCCCAAATACATATTAATTAAATATAATTATATTGCGTAGTAAAAAAATGGTATTTTATTTACTACTCTTTTCCAAAACTTAAAGTGCTTGAATTTCCTTTCTAAAACTAAAGACTTTTAACTCGGATGGAAACATAGAAGTTAAAGAAAAATATTTTTCATTATGTCAGTTAAAAAATAATGGAAATTCCAATTTCTTACTAGACTCAAAAGTCTAACAGCTTCTTCCTAATCCTAAAAATTTTTTGAGCTCAAACAGAGGTTTCTAAATTTCTTTCTTATTTATACATTTCCAAATTGGAGTATAAAAAAATCGAAATTACTATTTTTTGCCAGAGTCCAAAGATCTTGGAATATCTCTGTAGTACCAAATATTTAGACTCAAATGAGGTATTTTAATTTTTTCATTTTATATAATTTTCTTTGTATAGTAAAAAAATAATACTAAATCTCAAATTTCTAACTCGACCCTAAATGATGTCTTAGAACTTCTATCTCAGCTCCATAAGCTCGGAGTTCAAGCCAAGGTATTTACAAAAATTCATATGATTTATTTTTCCGTTCAGTAAATAATAATGGCAAGTGCAAATTAATTATCAGACCGTAAGATCTTAAAATTTCTGTCTAATATCAAAAGCTTAACTTGGCTCAAAACGGGTATTTATAATATTTTTTAATTTCTTTGTGGAGTAAAAAAAATAATGCAGGTATTAATTTCTTACTAAACATAAATGTCTTAGAAAATTCTTTCTGATACCTAAAATGCATCTAAACAGAATACTTGAGATTTCATATATACTTTTTTCCTCATAGTGAAAACAAAATAATGGTAATATCAATTTATTATTAGACCCTAATATCTTAAGACTTCTCTTTAATAGCAAAAAACTTTTGGATGGGCACAGAACAAGATACTAAACCCTTATGCGGGCCTTTGTTATCTTTGATGGAGTTAGATGAGACCCATTGGACATTGGCTCTTATCCAACTAGACTCAAATAGGCCTGAGTCATGCAATTCTAATACCAAGACCCTTTAACTCAGTTTAAAACGGAGTAGTTTCCAATGTACCCAAATGCCTTAAACCTTCTTTCTAATATTAAAAAGCTCGGGCAGCATATTTTTAATACCAAATAGAACAAAATATTTACATTTTTGTTAAATGAACGGTCCCAGCGGATGGGCTCAGCGAGCCAATCTCATGCCCGACTTTCTGAACTAGATGAGACCTTTTGGTCCGAATCCTATCTATAGTTCATACTGTTAACTTGTGTTTGGGCTTGTATGAGAATCAAACCTTATTCAAGTCTAAAATCATGTTTAGAGTAAGAAATTTAACAAGGCTCGTATTGCCAAGTAGGAAACTATACGAGTGTGGGAGACTATCTTAGTTATCTTGACATCACTATATGAGGGCCTCTTTTTGCGTTTTTTACTCCCCTTCTTATTATGTTTTTTTATTAGTTTTTTTTTGCATTATATCGATTAGAAACCTGCATCGGTCCATCTTTGATAATAGTAATTTTAGGCCAAAAAAATTATGGTGGACCGATCATATTATTTAAACTACTTATTACGAAAAAAACATTTTTTACTCGAACCTTTTTATTTCTAACAATATTACGAATGTTTTGACGCAATTTTATTATGCCCGCAAAATAAAATATGCAAGAGATCGCTAATGGCAGTGTTAATTGATTTATAAATCTAGCAATCAAACCCAAATTGAATAAAGCCTTATTACCTCACATGATAAAGAAAAACAACTAATTGATACACAAATTTATGGGAATATCACTGAAAATAAGTTCTATAAATGTGCAAAATTTGCATTGAAAATTTACAATATAATTTCAACATAAAATTGAACCGATAACTTGACTTTTATATTGATTGGAGGAAACAATCAGCTAGGATCAATAAAAAAATTATCAGAGTTTTCCAAAGAAGAATAGTTGCCAATTAGTGAATAATTCAGGAGTCACTTCTTAGCTAATCCTTTATATACCAATTTGACATTGGAGCCATATTTAAAGGTTTTCCAAGACGTTGATCGAAATATAATAAATTATGATTGCACGAATTCCATTTCTCACGCAAATGTAGCTTTAAATGTTTGGTATGGGAGACAAGTAGATATTAACAAATCAGCTTGCATCGCCTTAAAAAATCTTGTTTTATTTAAATCTAAAATTTGTTCGTTATTGTATAATCATAACAAAGGTATTGAAAAAATTATTGAGTTATTGACACAATTAAATACTTATTTATGCTATTTGATTGAAAATTATTGTCAAAATTTCTAACGTTGTTTTCAAGACCTTGTATCAAACATTTAGATGTAAAAATATAAAGATATTTTGGTAAGTGTATTAAGAGAACCATCATATAAATATTTATAAAGAAAAAATTCGGATAAGAATGTTAATAAATGATTTGATTATAAAAGCGTCTAAAATGATTATTTATGACATTGACATAAATGATAAGACAAATATAATAAAATCACCAGCTTCCGCATTAACCTTTAAATTTAATTTATCATTTGATCAAGACATGGAGAAATTCAATAATTGAATTAGGCGATATATTTTAGTTTTATGCCTCGTGGCCTGATTTAAAACATTTATTATATAAATTTTACTAACGATTCTCTGTTCGCAAAATACCATATCCGGTTTAGTAACTCATCTTCGTTCATCAAATATAAATATTGTTTCCAACGAGTGCGCTATTATCTGCTCAGTGTCAATAATTTTGCCAAATCGAGATATTGATAATTTTAAATGTGTTATCAAATTGAATGGAGCTCTTACAATGTTTAAATAAATTATTACGATCCAAACACAATACTACATCTATTTATTCATGGAATATTATATTGAATTTATATATTTAAATATTTTGAAGGATAAATTAGAATTTCAGGACGAAATTATAAGCAACAACTTGAATGAAGAGATATATCCATGCAATATCAACCTTGAGCTACTGATCTTAAATCAAACTATAGATTCTATTTTTGATCGCTCTCTTTATGACCGATTTAAGAGTTCTGAAGAAAATAGTAATTATCAGAATTTTATGGATGTTAAGGGTAGATTTTACGATCAAGAAAATAATATAAAAGAAATGTATGAAGATAAAAAATTGATGAACCTTCCAGAACAAACTCCTAGAATGTTTTCTCGGTAAAGTTCCATAATGTCCATACCAGTGAGTGTGATAAGGATTCTCATAATGATAGATCTGACGAAATAAAATCCCAAGCTCTGCTATTCAAAGTTATGACTCTCAAATAATAATGGATTCTATTCTAACATCCTGTCCTCATTGCAAATAAATCCTATTTCAATAAAAAATTATTCACACCGTAACAATCAAAATAAATTGGACAATAATGAGTTTGAAAATGCTATGAAGTCTTATGCAACGGAAGGCACTCCGTACCACTCCACTAGACCACCATCCCCATATAAAAATGATCCTATGATCCTTATGAAAGAAAATCAATATTATTTCACTCAACAAAACACTTATGATGACGAAAAATTAAAAGCATATTATGTTGATGATACACCGACATCTATATATTACCCAATATCCTCTAATAATTTTGTTAACGATATAAAATATAATAATTATGGAATACTAGAGATTACCAATAATTTAAGGCTATTTCCTGAAAAATTATTTTTCAAATTTTTCCATTAAAATCTGTTTAAAGTGGTTGGTTTTTTTAAATCTTTTGACCACAGATCGGACTCCACGTGATTTGTTAAAATAAAAAAAAACATATATGTCTTATTGAAAAATATGCATTTGGTAGTACCTATCAAAGAAAAAATTGTAAAATATCGATTAACTAGGTACTTTGCAGTAAGCATCATTAAATTACAAACGATGAAAGAAATATTAAATAATTTATTATACGTCGATAACCCACTATAAATTAACAATGAAAATTTAATTTTTTTTCCTATAAATTTTATACAATAATTTACTTTTTTTTTAAAAAAAAACACACAGTCAAGATATAGTAAACTTTTTAACAAAATTTTGTTTTTTTTTTCAATCTAAAACTTTTCGCAAAACCAGAATAATATCAAAATCTACGGTTAAAATCTTGTCTTCCATTCCTTTTAATGATACAACATCTTGCAAGTTTGATGTCGGTGGTAATGAAATAATGTCTTCGAGGTGCCAACGAGGCGACTTAAACAATAGATACTTTAATCGATAATAGCTGTACACTCTGTGGGATCCCCAAATCAGTAGCCCCAAATTTTCGGCCATGTATCCTTCATCATTATCATTGGGATCATTAATCCCTTCCATCAATTCCGTCAAAAAAGTCTCTCGATTTATTTTGGCGAATCGCGTGATCGGAACGTTGAGGAATAATAAACCTTTCGGTTTTAATAAGCACCACATTTGAACCATCAAAATGGCGTCGGAGACTGAGTTTACTTTTAAACTCATCATATTTTTGAAACGCGACTCATTATCGTAATCTTTTCCTGAAGCCATTCTCTTTCCATCATTCGTTGAGTCTTCTTCCAAGAGACTTAGCCTATGAAACGAAGATTCAAGAGTTATAATCATAAAATCTAGAGCCATTTTTCTTTCCCGGCTTTCCCTCAAATAATACACGGGATCGATGTCGAGATTACTTTTTCTCCTATGTTTTCTTGCATCGGTGATCCCAAAATACGATTGAAACAATTTTAAAGGATTGTAATAGAGGGCCCATAAATGGTTCAATTTATTGGCTTCATTTAACGTTTTCACTCCTCTCTCGACTTCGTAAAAGTTTGATATAATCATTTTACGGGGTACCACTTCCCCTTCGAGCATTTCTCTTAAAATCGCGTTTAATAGGATGGAATTTTGAAATTTGACTTTAGAATGTTTTCTTCTTCTTTCAATCTTATGGCGGCTGATTTTATCCCAAAATATTACGCCCTTTTTTCGAAACATATGGCTCTTTCCATACTTATCGATTACACTTTTGAATAGTGTCTTCAAAGCATATTCCCTGTCTTCCTCGTTTTCCACAGTCGGTTTACAGGACATTGGTTCTAGAAGTAAATGACTCGCATTAATGTTATCTCGCAGAGTAAACTCTTTATTGAGCGGAAATATGGCTAGAACTTCGCGAGAAGATGGTGGTAAGGCAAAAGTATGAGTCGTGTACAGATAATCTGCCACGTTTTCGCTTTCGTTTAATTTAGGCAACAATTTATTAAAAAGGGGTAAACGAAGTTCGTCAACAAGTATTAGCGACTTTCCGAAGTCGCTAAATTCTTGTATCAGATCTATGGAGAGGTCTCGAGGATTTATAAGTGAGGATGATTGACGTTTACGGGAAGTTTTGTGAAATTTGGTCTTATGTACAGCATCACGCTTGTCCCTTCCCTTGTTGTCACGTACAACATCCATGTTAAGTCGGATGTCTTCGATACTCTGTTTGATGGATTCGAAACACTGCAAAATTCTGTCGGGATCGATTTCGTCCGACGTCGTTGGTAAATAATCTTCCCACGTTTCGTCATCGTATATAACTTTATCGCTCGGTTTAAAAAATGATTTCCTGTTTGTAGTATTAATATCTTTCTTTTTTTTCCAGAAAATGATTTATATTTAAATATATATATATATACCTATGTTACCGGGCATAAAAATTCAGTCAATCTGTATATAACATTTTTGGTAAATAAATTAGAAAAATAACCTAAATGTTTATGATCCAAGATCAAATCTAAATTACTACAAAATCAGATCTTCAAATTTTTTAAAAAAGTGTCCGACAAATTTTTTTTTTTGATATTTTTCTAACTTTTTATACTATTTTATTTAAGGCGCGTTATTTTTGGCTTACATTTTTGAAAATCTTATTATTGTCGGGAATGTTCTCGAAAATGTTTAAAAATACCTATCTTATAAATTTGTGATAAAGGTATAACACATTAGATCCCTGGATAAATTATCGAGAGTTTCGAATTGGATTTGAATAATATTCAAATATTATACTAAAATATAATATATTCGTATTCGAATATTAAAATAAAATATATTAAAATATAATTTGACTAATTAAATAATATTATCTAACATTTTAATATTTTTATATTAATTTTTCATTTTATAGTTTAATTTTTTAAAATTTTCGCCATATATTTTTGAGGAAATCTTCTTGCCTTGCTTTTGACTTTTTTAAAAAATTATCTATTTAATATACAGGGATTTGAAGCTAGACCCTGAACCATCGTATTTTTGCTGGACCCAAGCCCAGACCATGACACTTTTTTAAAAAAGGAGGGTTCAAGGGTTCTAGGTGTCAAAAAAAAGAATCATTTTCTATCTCTTGACATTTTTCAAAATTTTCCGGTTTTTTTATACTTTCATTTTATTAGGTAATATCTTGTTTTAATTCATATTAATTTTAGAAAGTGAAATATAGTAAATTTTATAGAGTTAGTTAGAGGTACGCAGGCTGGCCCAAACTTCGAGTTGGCATAGTCGGGTATTCTAAAATATTTTTAACATTGGGCTGGCTTGGGAGGCTGAATTTTTAATATTCTTCAGGCAAAATGAGCTGACCAGACTTCAATTTATTAAAAATAATAGTTTCATTTCATAATATCGTATATTATATATGTATATGTTTTAATTTAAAAATAAATTTAAATAAATAAAGAAGCAAACCAGCCCATTAAAATAATTTTTAAACCCTAGGCGGAAGGGGCCGGTTAAACAAAATCAAGCGGGCAGGCTTTTTGGCTAAAAACCCGCCCATTGCAGGTCATGTTTTTAAAAAATCGACTCAAATAGAGCCATTTAACAACACTACCTGCAGACCCGGCCCTGGTATATTAGAAGGAGCTAAAATACGGCCCGGACTTAGGGCAGCGCCTGCAGGTCTCTAATATATAATATATATAAGGGTGCAATTTTTTATTATATTTAACTTATTATTTTCTGTAAAATGAATGTTTTAAAATCAACAATAAATTATTTTCTTATTATTCAAATAGTGTAATTCAAAATTCTTGGCTTATACCAAAAAGCATATGCTTTTTTTATAATGTTATTGAATGAGTTCATTTTTAAAAAATATTATTCGAATAATATTCGGTCAAATTAGTATTCGTTTGAACGAATCGAATAATGTTCGTTAGTGAGAATAATTTTCGAATTGATGTTCGTATTTATTCGACAAATAAAATCGGCGAACTATTTATTATATTATATTGCCTTGCCGGCAACATTAACATAAAAAAGAATATATTTGTTTATTTAAACTTTCAGCTAAGTCAATCTCAATTATGTAATGCACACCCTCGTAAAACTAGCATTTTTTTTTAAGAAAAATTAAAAATTATTGTTAATAGAAAATATTTTCATATACAAAAGAAAATAGAATAAGAAAAAGGAAGATTTGGAAATTGTTATTTCAATTATATAAATAGTTTGTACTTGTCCTTCTTTGGTTGTCTTCAATATATAAAAATTAAATAGAGTTTTTTTTTTCTCTTTTGCCCTTCTTTTGTCTTGTCGTAAATACATAAAAATTAAATAAAGTTTTCTTTTGTTTTGATTTAAATATTTTTAAGGTTAACATATGGTTTTTGTGTTTTCTTTTTACTTAGGGGTTTCACTTACTTTTGAAGTCTATAATAGGGTGTTCGGCTAATACAAGTTAGATATTTAGGTCCGGGAGATAGCCCTGCATCCAATGGTATAATTAGAGTTCCGGAAAGTATAGGGGGGTAGGTTTTATCCCTAATTATGTAAGATAAAACTAACACAACTCCTTTCTGCAAAAACGTTCTTTTTTTCATAATTTGTGACAATTTTATTTTATAAATGCGCCTTTTATTTTCACTATATAAAGGTCAAATTTCTATATTAAAGATAAACTTTATTTTTTGGTTTTCAAATTTGCTGAAAATTATAATTATTTTTTGTACTTAAAAATATAATTTATAATGTTTTAATTGATGCTTCTTAAATTTTTTATGATTAATTATTTTCTTTTTTTTTAAATAAAAATTTAAAATATAAATGTTGTAGTTGCTTTTAATAATCTAAAATAAATGACGCATACCAAATCTCATCGAGACGTGCCACTTACCATTCTACCCACAACTGAAGCCCCAACACTTCAGAAATAATTTTTCTAAGAGTTTCTAAAGGCTGGTTAGGTGTGGTCGACGTCATTGTCAGAAATTAAAATATAATTAATCAAAATTCTAATGTTAATAAAGATACTAATCATTTTGATTTTATACGGCTCAAAAAAAATCTTAGAATAAGATATTCGAAATTTGCAGGAGTTTGATAAGGGTAGTGTTGCTAAACGGCGCGAAATCCACACAATTAGGCAAATGAGTGAAAAATGTATTTTAGACAGAAAAATATTCCTTATGCCTCGAGGTTTTGATAATAAATGTTCAAACCTTTGTACCATCTATGAGCGAAATATTTAGGGCTTGCATAATATTTTTCTGAATATAATATTGAGTCAGCCGTTTTACAACACTAGACAAGTATACCCAGAATAAGCAAATTTACTGTTTTTTTATAATTTAATCCCTAATTTAACAAAAATAGAACCAAAAATTAGTAAGTAAAAGCAAAAAGCGCCCAAATATAAATTTTTTTTTTGATTGGCCTGAACTTAAATTGTGATAAATGTTTTTTAAAAGAAGAAGAAAAAAAAAATGTAAGACACGAGAATTCGCGACAATGGTATCGCCTTACTATCTCTTATTAATTTGGTCATGTTAAAACCCCGGCCACTTTTTATATTTGTGGAGGACGAATATCTTCAAATACATAATATACTAAAAAAAAAAAATTAAATGTCTTTTTTTTTACCCAATTAATAGAATAGTCGAAATTAGGCGACGAAACGTAGAAACTTTTCAACATCGTGACTAGAGCGAAATTTATTACGCTCATAAAAACGAATAGGATCACTAATATAATAAAGATAGATAGGACATAAACTCTAGCCTTTTCCCGCAGTCCCAAAATTTCGATCATCATGTATTTTTATGAAATATTAAACATTATAAATTTATAATAAAACATTAATTTTTTTTAAAAAAAATAAAAAAAAGATAACTTAAATGAAAACAAATAATATGGGGAAAAATTATTTATTTTTTATAATAAAAAAAATTAACCTAATTTTTATCGCGATATAAATAAAATTTTCTCTACAATTAATCGAACTTATAATTATTTATCGAAGGTGTAAATTATTGTTTTAATACTTATTATAATTGACAATAATATAGGTTACCTTATTAACATTTATAGACCACTCTTATTAATCATTATCATAGGGTCCAAAATTAGTGTCAGGCCAGACAATTAACGATGGATAGCGAGACCCTCTCACACAAAGAGCTGGAGCTATAAATATAAGAATCAATTGAGGGAGTATAGTTCAAGAACTGTTTTCTTATTTTTTTTACTTCAACTTTTTAGGTAGTTTAATAGAAGCTGAATGACTAAATAACCGGCTGTTTAAATAAGTCGAAACCAGAACACAGTTTGCTAAACAAAACAAAAAATGTCTAAATTAAAAAAGATAAGAAATATGCCGAGATGAAACAATGATATACAGGGTAAAAAAGATAGAAAATTAGAATTGTATATTTTAAAAAAAGGAAGTGCATTGCATAAAAATTATTAAATAATTCAAAAATACATAAAATTTGGATTTTTTTGTAAAAAATAAAATCATTTGATTTTATTTATAGAACTAGACGCCATATAAAATATGTCCTTTATTTTGAATAATTATAAAAATAAATTTCTATATTTAAATAGTTCGGGCTGGGCCTGCAAAAATTTTTTGATAAAAATCGGGTTCGGGCCGGGTCGATAAAATTTATTTTAAAAAAAATTTCGGACCGGGCTTGAAAAATTAGGCCCGATGCAGATCACTAGTGTATACTGCTTAAAAAATGATTATAGAGATATACATCCAAAATTTTTATCAATTAAATTTTCAAGTTTTTCTTTATCGAGCATTTAACTATATCTACCAATAAATTTTCATAGTTGGGAAGTGAAAATTCGGTAGATAATTTTTTTGGGGCTGGACTATTACATCTTGATTGCTTAGAAATTTTCCCTCAAATAATGATTGTTTTCTAAATTTGTAAGTGTTGTAATTAGGTAAGATCGTTAATATCATTAACAAATTGACATTTGTCATAATACTTAAAAGCTACTCAAAGCTTCTCAACACTTCAAATAGGAATTTGAGACCATTTGGCTTTATAGAAATTTTTTTTTTTTAAATTTAAATTAGGTTATTAATATACCACTTTTAATGGCAAATAACCACCTTTAATATTGGAAACATAATAAGAAGCTAACCTCTTTATACTAAAATATAATCAGTTTTATATGCTAAATTTTTCTTCTCTCAAATCTTGATGTAAATCAAAATATGGAAAATGTTTAATTATCTTAGTATAATTCATAACTAATGTATCTTTGAAAGATACGAATATGTATTTTTTTTTATGACACTAAAATGTCGATTTTGTGGGTAAGGAATATGTTCAGATTTATCGCGTGAAGATATTAGTGCACGAGCCAACCCCAGAAAAATAAATTATTTTTAAAAAACTTATGCATTCAATAAGAAGGTTGTCCTAGTCCGAAAACACTTTCGGGCTTAGTAGAGATATATGGGTAAAGATTTTGCCGTTTTCTTATACGTCATTTTAAACGTCAATAAAAAAAAGAAAATTACCCTTCACTCTCCCCCATAAACCCCCAAAATAATGTATTTAATATAACAAATAATCTAAAGACTGTATTTTGAAATTGGAGAGAGGCGGGAGTTGTGATAACATCATTATCATTGTGGTAGGAGTAGATGGAGGTATTTTCGAATTGAATCATCTTTTTTGGCTAAATTTGTATAGGGAGGAAAGGGTGGGAAAGAGATAAATGGCATAATAGTAAGTATCTTGGAGGGGATAAGGGGCTGGAAGTCTCTGAGTGAACCCAAAGGCCTCCATTAAAATTTATGAGAGAAAACACCAACTAATGCCCCCCCCCCCCTTACTAAATCCTGAATATGACTTGCCTATATTTATCATTAAGACAAATATGATGTAAAAAAATTTCATAAATGGGTAACAAAAATTCCCAGTAATAATTGAAAGTTTAAAAATTCGATATTTTTTCATTCATCAAACTTAAGAATTTTTTTTTTTTAAAAATAGGTTGTCATTATTTCACTACATGTAAATATTTTCTTAATATTAAAATAAAAAAATATAGCGCATTGTCATACAGTACACCAGTGGAAATACTTTTTAGTGTGGTATAAATGTTCTTAAGCATAAACGGGAATGACTTGTGGATGAAAAGTTTGAGAATGTTTCATCATTGAAGTTTTTATATAACAATAGATTCCTAATTTCGACAGTGTGCACATTTTACATGAGTATAATAAAAAAATATCCCTTTTCAACAAGGTATTGGTATCCAGATATATTTGAAAAGCATCCTTTAAAAACTCTAGTGTAAAGTGCCCGATAGGGTCCGCAATCGGCTGGTTCTAGCCCCTGTCCCACTCGTTATTTTAATAAATTTTTATCCCGCCCGCTCATCAATGGCTTTCCACCCGTTGTTTTAAAATTTTTTTTAACTCGCCTGTCACCCGCCCAATGCTCAAGATATTTCAAAAAGCCCACTCATGTTACCCGGAGAATTGGCTGGCATATGGAGAGGTTGGCTAAAGTCCACATCCATTAGTGGCAGATAATTGGCATAATAACCACGCTTCTGCCTTTCTCTAGTGTAACGAAAGCGCTGTTGAGGTCAAAATTTTCTGTTTCTTCTATAGGGACAAAATGTTAGGATATTTTTGATTATTTTAAAAAAAATATTAATCTCCTTTCAGTCACAATTTTTGAATACTTCATTTATAAGGATTTTTAATGGTAAAATTATGACGGTGGTGGTGGGGGGGGGGGGTATTTCTATCAGATTACTAGACCTCGTTTACCGGCGCTATATCCTTCTATAGGGCTCCGAGCAATGTTTAATTTGTGAAATTTATAGTGTTAAATTGCACATGAGCGACATCGCGATATATCGCGTTTCGCTTTAAACGAGGCCTTATGATTGTGAATTAGGTTAAACCTGAGACAGAATGTTTTGAAGATATTTTTTTTTAATCAAGGCTAAAGTTTTCGATGGCGCCGAACGTTTTTTCAAAAATGTGATTTCATAAAAAAATATTAGATGGCGTCGTAGAATCTTTTTATATACAAAGAAAACTTATCATTTTAGAGGAAGGTTTGTGTGAGTCTCAGATGCTAAAACGTTGATTTTAAAAGCACAGCACGCTTCGACCTGGGAGCGATTTCTAATGGAACATATTTTTTTTGTGAGGCTAACAAAGGTGATTTTGTATTACATAATATATATAATAATTAATAAGTAGATATAACGATATAACGATATAAGCCAAGGAAAGATCTGAACTACGCATCTGTCCACTAATATATCACTCTGCACTCAGTAAAATAATCAAACTACCTACAATTTCTCACGCTACTCGAAAACATCAAAAATTTTTTGTATATATGGATAACATTACAACACTTTCTAATATTTTAATAAAACACATAAAAAGTAAATAATTCTCAACGATATACATCATTACTCAAAAATTAAGGTGGTAGTTTTTAAACGAGGTAGTTATGGTGTCTTTAAAAAGGTATAGTTCATTCCTCTCATCATAGTAGCAATGAAAAAGGATACAATGTGTTTGAAATAGACTCTTTTATAAATGTTGTGCCTTGTTTAATAATTTTAACTACACATATCGCATCCCCTATATTTATAGTCAAATGCGAAGATAAAAGTGGCGATTTAACAAGCTAATCGATCTAATAAAATCTTTTGTTTATCTTTTAATTATTTTAAAGGGAATGATAGGTGGTTCGAGATATTTTTAATTCCGATCATGATGGATAATTTAATATGGATAGATCAGTTGTTAAATCGAAATATATTTTGTAGGTTCCGCTATAAAAAGAAAAGGTATCTTTATATATTATATAAGTACTAGCTAATAACAAGTCAAGAATGACGGGGTTGAGGGGTAATTCGTTTGTGTATATGGTACTAAATATACTTTATTCATATATTTTATAAAAATATTAAAATTTAGGAGAAAAATCGATAAATTTGTGAATCACACCTCATAAGATATTCTTAATTTAATCTATGATGACCCGTCTTTCTTTATGGGCAAAATGAAAAATATATAACTAAGAGTATCAGAGCTCCCGTTAGTCAGCATTGCTGAGTCCGTCAAAAATGACTGGGAATGAGAATTTTCTCCTTACTCTTATAATAGTTGCTATCTGTTATTTGAAAATAGTATCCTATTTTTATTCTTTATAACCCCCCTCCCCCAATCAGACTAGGCTCAATCCATTAAAACTAAGTTTAAATACTATGTTTTGACTTTGAGTCAAAATGTATTTAAAGCTATTACTTGATATCCATATTAATATTATTTGTTAAAGTATTACTGATCACCTATGCCTAATACTTAATATTGAAAAAATTCCCAAGCAAATTCCAAGGCCATAATAATTTTGAAAAAATTTCCCCAACCCCAACCAAAGTTCATAATAATTTTGGTAGTTAAGAACTGGAATAAAATATGAGTCTTGGTTTTTGGATTAGGCAGAGCCTAGGCCTGCAAAACACATTTGTTTTAGGTCAATGTCTGATCCATAGTTAATAATAAAAAAATTCCCAAGCGTTGTAGCTGATAATAATTTGAAAAATTTTCCCCAAGCCCAGCTCAATATAATTTATAAAAATATTTTCCAAGCCCAGCTCGACCCATTATAATTTTAAAATATTTTTCTCAAACCTGGCCAACCGATAATAATTTTGTAATTTTTTTCCCAAGCCTGGAGCTTCCAATAAAAAAAATAAATATTAATATATTAAAATATAGTTTCAAATATAAGAAGAATTGTATTACAAAATTTAAGCTAGGGGCTAAGTTGGAAAGAACGTTTGCCTTATCGTACGTTAAATCAGGGCATTGAATCTCATTGATGTATAAAAAAAATTAAAATAAAATTTTA